CCGGGTTTGGTTAGGGTTCGCGTTAGGGTATGCGGTTAGGGTGAGGGTTACAGGCTATCTTCAAAGGGGGGTCCGGGGGGTTCCCCCCCGGATGGTTAGGGTCCGGGACGTTGATATGCACAGACACACAACAATCGCCAAGGACCAAAAGAAATAAACCTAAACCCCGTGATATGGGTGAAGGTGGTCAGAGACAACTGAAGGGTATTTAATAGTTCGAGGGGGAAAGGAGGAGTAAGACGCCGTAGGGTAGTCCATAGGAAGACCTAGAAAAATAAAACAAAAACCTTGATGCCTGAAACAAACACTAAGGGACGCTCCGGAGTATTTATCTCCAGAAAGTCGCAAACAAAGTCGCAAACCACGGAACCGAGTGTAGGTTCAGGCCCACGGAAGTAAGAAACACTAGAAAGACTTGTTTAATTTTATTTCGCTATGTGAGGCTCACCGGAGCTAATTGAATCGATGGCGGAGATAATTCACTTGACAAGTCAGGCCTATTGGCAAAGCTAGGGTCGGTTATAATTCGCTAAGTTCGGCGCTTTCGAACTTCTCGGGTCGCTGAGATCGTAATGCTAATTCTCTGAGATGGTGAAGTCGAAACTTGTTTTTCTGTACGCTACTTTGTACAATTTATACTACAGGAATGGCTTTGCGACCGTCCGGAGATAAATAACAAATAAACGCCGCTACCCACAGGATTGCTCAGCACTTGCCTCCGTTATACCATACACCATACGACTCCCTTGCGCTCCCACTTGCTCGTTCCAGCCCCTATAGGTCGCCTCAACGCTCTGCCACCTGCCCTAAGCGGTCCCATCACTCCGTGCGATGTGCCGGTCACGTGCTAATTGCGTCCGGCCGCTTGCTGACTGATGCTGGCCTCATGGTGACTCGTATGTGTCCGCACCTTTGGTAGTTTGATGGAAATGAGAGGGAGTGAGTGCTGGAGGTTGGGCATGAGGACGACACCCCTTGATAGAAGCGTCCGTGGGCCCCGGAGCTAATTCATCTAGAAGTCACATTGGTTAAGTCGCTCCGGAGCTCCTGTTCGCGGAGATAAATTGTGGAATGGGTCCGTGTACGCCTCGGGGATGCTAGGAAGGTCCCAGCTAAATAGAACAAGTCTTTAGAGCCCATAGAAGCCTAGAGGTGTGTGAGCGCTGTATCGAATAAGCTCCGGAGGGCTTGTACAATGCGCTGAGTCCGCGTTTTCAGGGGTCAGACGATCCTGAGGCTTATCAACGTCCCATAAGGCAATGATCGGGCAGACTCACCGATGTGGCATGCTGCGCGTGTGGCAGCGAGGGCAATCTGGTGGAAGTCGGAATATCCGCGCGAGTTCCACTTCCACTAGTTTGGTATATACTCATTTTATCATAAGCAGGAGGGGTACGCGTCTGTGGCCGGTGGACAGAGCCACAGAATCGCCACGCGCCACGTGCACCGTGGTGTGGTTCTCACGTTCGCATTTGCAGTTCGCGAACGCGTTCGGCGGTGTGACCAAGGTGTGACCTCTCGACTTTAAGTTTCTGGACACGCGAGTGGCTGGTCACGCCGTGAGGTGACGTCACCAGGGCAGGACACGTCGTGGCGGCGCTGTCACGGTCGGCCATAAAACCCGCCGCGTCTATCGCACCCTCGCCGCCAACGACGATGACGATCTAGTCAGTCTCTGTTTACTCTCCTCGAACGTCGCTGACAATGTCCCAGCTACAACCTGACCTTTCTCCTGCTCGCGGCCGAGGTGCGTTTGTCGTCGTCGGCAACAGCGTCCACTGACCCCGCGCAGATGGGCACGTTCTGCGTGCTCGTCGCCCCGCTCCCGTACGCGCTCCGCCGCCGCCTCTTCCACTTTCTCTCCGAGAGCCCCGTCGTCGCCAAGCTCGCCTATGCCCTCAAAATATCCTTCATGTGCGCCTCTCCCGCCCTCCCCGCCCCGCCCCCCGCTAACAGCCCCGCAGCTTCGTCGGCATCCTCTTCGTCGACGCCCTCCAGCGCATGTTCCGCGTCACCGCCGAGAGCGACGTCGCCCGCCAGACCGGCCAGGCCCACGACGTCCGCACCGAGACCAACTTTGCCGCCCGCAAGTTCTAGTGCGCGTGGCCTCCCTCCCTCCGTGTACCCACGCTCACCCCCTCCAGCTCCCAGCGCAACGTCTACCTCACCGGCTTCACCCTCTTCCTCTCCCTCGTCCTCACCCGCACCTTCTACATCCTCCTCGACCTCATCCACACCCAGGAGGAATACGCCAAGCTCAAGCAGTCCACCGCCGCGTCCTCGCGCACCGCCCTCGCGGGCGGCGAGCTCGACGACCTCAAGCGCCGCCTCAAAGAGGCCGAGGCCAAGAACCGCGATTTCGGTGAGCGCTTGCTCGTTGGACGGGGGTTCCTGCGCTGATGTTGGTGTTGGTGTTGCGCGCAGACACGCTGAAGAGCCAGGCGGAATCCCAGGCCAAGGCCTACGACGAGCTCGCCGACAGGTACAACGCCGCCACCGGCGAAAACGCCAGCAACAAGCGCGCCGACTAACCCGTTCACCTGCCTCATTTCTTGGATGTTGAATGACTGACAGCTCAAGTATGGAAAAAGAAGCGTGCGGTGTAGGCAACGCTGTATTGTAGACGACCGTCCGTACTTGCCAAGCTAATCCTGATACATGTATACTTGCCTCTACTCCCTCCTGAGCGCGATGCGGGCCTGAAGTTCATGCAAAGATGCGATAATAAACAACAGTTGCAGCGAGTTATGTTGTACACAAGCGAATACATTTCACTTTCCCCTCCTCTATCCCCCCTCTCCCCTCTCCCCCTCCCCCTCACCGCCGCCGACTCATCGCAAAACACCCCTCGTACCCCGGCACGCTCGGCGGGCTCAGCGTGTCCCGCCAGCGCCCAGCGATGTGCCCCTCCGCGTTCCCCACCAGGTACCCCCGGTACAGCCACTTGCCGCGGTCGCCGTCCACCTGCGGTTTGGTTGCGTAGTTAGTCTGCGTTTCAGAGCGGGGTATGGGGAAGGGGAGGGGGGCGAAGGGGGACTCACGTATTCCTTCGACAGCGAGACGAACCCGTCCCACGGCCTTACCCGCCCAAGGAGGTTGAACTGGCCCCACGACGAGTGGCCCTGCGCCCTCGCACCATCAGCGCATGCTCCCACCCACCCATGAAGAAACCGCGAAAACGCACCTCGCCCACAACCAGCACGTCTCCCACCTCCTCCTGCCTCTCCCCCACCTCCCCCGCCCCCAGCCTGGTATACACCGCCGGCTCCGCCCTTCCCGCCTCCCACACCTCCAGCACGCCCTCCGCCTGGCGCTCCTCCACCCTCACGCCCGGCGGGAGGAACCCGCGCAGCGGCTCGCCCGCGCCCACCCGCCGGCCCGCGCGCGCGCAGCGGTACTCGCGCAGGCGCCACGTGTGCCGGTGCTGCGCGACGAGCGAGTTGAGCAGCACGCGCGGCGGCGCGCCCGACAGCAGCGCCGCGTACGCGGTGAACTCCGTGTACTGCACAGCGAGAAAGGGGAGCGGCGAGCGAGCGAGCGAGTGAGTGAGTGAGTAAGGGGGAGGAGGGAAGGGGGCGCCGACCCACCGTGAATATCCCCTCCCATATCCCGTCCAGGCTCCCCGCGTCGAACACGCCCCGTCCGTCCGCCGCGGGCCCGAGACACCGATACCACACCGCGCGCCACTCGCCGCGCCGCCCGGGGCGCCGCCGCGCGAAGAGGAGCTGCGGCGCCGGCGCGGCGCTCGCGAGGCGGTAGTTCATCAGCGAGAGGTAGCACAGGACGGCCGGGACGGTGATCGGCGGCGGGAGCAGGCGGTAGGGCCGCGCGTAGTGCGTGACGAGCATCCCGAGGTGCGCGGTCGGGTCCCGCTCGAAGGCGGCGTGGTACGGCCCGCAGAGGTGGTACTGTGTGCAGGTTAGGCTTGAGCAGGCAAGGATGGGGGCGGTCAAGCGTACCTGGTGGGCGCCCAGCGCGATGAGCTTGACCAAGTCCGTCGCCTTCTCGTGCAGCGCGCCATCATTGACATAGTCCTCTGTCCGACCATGAGCACCCAACCCGTCCGAACCGGACAGCAACGCGACTCACCCGGGCGGAGGAAGAACCAGAACAGCCACATCGCGAGCGCCGTGCACTCGTTGTTCTGCGGCCAGCGCTCGCGCTTCGCCGCGCTGAACGATGCGCCCGCGTCGTCGAACCAAAACAGCCGCAGCCACCCGTCGATCCCCGCGTACCCGCGCAGCTGCTCCTCGTTCCTCCCCTCGTTCTCCACCGTCATCAGGAACGCCATCCACAGTATCTCCAGCGTCAGATCGAGCTCCTGCTTCGAGTAGCGCACGATGGGGTCGACGGTGCACCCCGCGCGCGCGCGGATCCGCTTCATGTAGTGCGAGCGCCGCCGCAGCTCGTGCGCCATGGCGGACACATCGGCGTCGCGCGCCGCCGCGCCGCCAGAGTCGAACTTGAACTGGAATATCCGTGCGTACAGGTGCGGGTTCGATTCGAACGATAAGAATCCGTGCACCCTCCGGCTCGCGAGCAGGAGCGGCACGATGCCTGACGGCGGGCCCAGCGGCTGCTGCGTCGCGGCAAAGTACGCGACGTGCTCGACGACCTCCTGCGGGATCGTGTCTAGCGAGGGCGACATCGCGGCTGGCGTACGGGTGTAGAGAGGATATCGTCGGAGGGGTGCATGGGACGAATTAAGCCTTTCGGAGACTCCGCCTCCGGCCTACCAAACCCCGGCTTCTTACCTACCACGGCAAACGCCGTCCCCCCCCCCTCTGCTTTCCACTCATCAGTCCGAAGAGGCTTTGTGGCACGTCATGTATTGATTTGTGGACGCGGCCCTGCAGGGCGCAAAGTATAATGAAACTATAACTGCCGTATATCCCACATCTATGATCTCTCTAGTGCCTTCTTGGCGACTGCCCGACCACTCACCCGACATCAGCTGACGCTACTCTTCACTTCTCCTCAGATTCCACAGCGTCTCATAAGATTCGGTGGCGTCGGGGAAAGCATGCCGACGCCTGCCGACCATATGTCGTGAAGAGAGCACTGCACGAGGGAGATAAATATGTCAGACAAGCGTCCACAACGCTTTGCTGCTGAGGGTTTACGTACGATATCCGCGGAATACGTCCCTACCAAGATGGTCCATTGTAGGATCCGCCTTTCACAATGCCTCAGCCCCAGCAATATATACCGAGAATTCGTACTCACTGGCTCCCTCACGAGGACCACAAGACGGTCGGAAGGACGCACCCGGCCGTAGAACTTGAACGGCCCCAAGGCACTGCTATGTTGCGGATCCGTCTACAAATGGGTGTCAGTACGGTGGAGGGACAACGTACAGAGGGTGGTACAACCTCGCCGGTAACAATAATATCGACAGGATCCCGCGAGGGGCGCTGCGTACCGCCACCGGGCCCGTCTTTGAAGGTTCGATAATGTGCAATGTCGGCCCCTTCAGCGTTCGTGATTTTCAAACCATCCTAAGGTATGAATGTTATGAATGTGAGAGAATACGGGTAAAATAGGCTAGAATCCCGTAAATTACCTTCGTCTCAATTAACCTACAACCTGAAGGCAACCACGCGTTCAGACAGGAGTTCTCATCTTGCATAACAGGCGCCATTACCGCCGAGTTGAGAACAAAGTGTTCTCGCAATCTGCACTGGAAAGGGATTCGATACTGCCCATTTATCGAAGCGCCTGCACTGAAACGCGTGTCCGGGACCTGGGGAGGGCCACAATGGCTCGCGGTCTTAATGTGCTCGCTTTCCGAGCATCATTTATGTCGTCACTCACCAGACAGGTCCCGCGCCAAGAGCCGGATAACATACCCAGTTCGTGACGGGACGACACGGGTCGATCCACGTCAATGCGGGAAGTCACCCGCCTCCAGAGTGCGTCGTATTGCAGGCTGGGAGGATTGGTCGACCGACGCCGTAGTCTCGTCGTTCGCGAGTTGTACTCCTCGATATCGGCGAGAGTTACCCCGGGCGGATGTCGGACATTTGCGCTGGTCTGCGGCATATCATGCTTGTCCGGGACTCCAAGAGGGCGATCTTCGTAGTATGCGAGATAGGCCTGGATGGCGTAGGCGGCAACAGGGGGGGTGTTGTATCTGAGGGTACATCCGAAATACGAGATGTAGTGGGAGGAGGGAAATAGCTTCGAGAGTTCTTCTGGAGCACATCTTCGCAATGGGTAAAAATCCCGTTCCGGTAACTCTGACAAAGGACACTGAAAGTAGTTAGTATGCACCATGCGACGAGCTTTGTCCCTTCACTTACATGTCGACTCGAAAATGCGAAGGGGACCAGCAATTCGCGAATGTCGTCGCTTCCATGACCATCCGTTAACAAAGCTATATAATGCGAGATCAGATGTAGCAGGTTAGGAGACGAGCCTCATACTTTGGGAGAGGGCTGAACACAAGACGATTGCCAGTGCCATGACATCTTGGTCAATGGTTGAATCTTTCTGCAACGAACAGCGGAGAATGTTCTCAACAGTCTCAGACAGATTGGACCAAGCAATCTGCATAGCATTGTCGCCATCATCCTCTAAAAGCATGAAATAGGCTCTCATCAGAGCATCTCTCAAGTTCGGATCCCCTAGGGACCCGCGCCTGATCATCTTCAGCGACGTGTATCTCCGGGAAAGTTCGGCCGCAACGTCTGACGGAGCCAAAGGACCTAGTCGACGTAGGAGAGCTGACATATCAAACCTGCGCTCGAAGATGCGACGAAACACGTCGGGAAGGCAGTCATCCTTCAAGGTTTTATAGTATGTCCTAGAAACCAGAGACAAAGGAACAAGGTTGCTGGGCGGACCAATAGGAGTAAGATCGGCCGTGCGGAGGGTAAGGTTCTCTACGATGGTGGCTTCACTCAGCATAGCAAGCGCCATGAGCCAGAAGGCACCAGTTACCCGTATCCACATATATAGCTCGGGCGACAATCCCACTCCGCCGGGCGGCGTCTACAGAGGATTAGACCTTGAGCTGAGCAGCGAGAAGTTTCATCTCGGCACTGAGCGTGACGTACCCATCAGCGGAGGAAACAGCTGCGATGCTCATAGCATTTCTTTCATCGAGGCAGACGCCGGCGGAGTATGGATACGAATGGTCCAGGTTTATGTAATAGAAGCGAGGAGGAGAGGTTGAGACGGTACCCGGAAATAGACCTCGGGTACCTCAATCCCATTCGAGTATGCCGTGGTGTGCCATAAAAGGCCTCGAAGGGACTTGCGTACGGTACCGTCGCAGTTTGAAAACCCGCACGTCCAGGAGAGGTATAGTTCACGCCACCGCCACGGACACATCGTGAGGGCCACATCCTGGCAGTACGACGTCAGTACTGTGCAGCAATCGCCTTTACCCGGAGAACGAATCTACGGCGGCCAGTCTACTCTCCGTGTTATCCTTGTGACCGCTATGTAGGAATGATCGCCCAAGACTTCAATCAGCGACCCACGACGACACAATGTAAAGTTTACCTCGCGTAGTTCGCCGCTCCTTGCTCTTGAGATTGATGCCGCCGTGCATACAGCTCCGCCGAAGAAGCGCCGGGGACTGAATGCAGCACTTGCCTTACTTATCGCTCAACTCTTCAGGTGGGAGAAGAGAGTTGGCGGGGCATCACGAGCCCTGATAAAGGGTATTGATCGGCTTTCAGACGCTGCGATCAATGTTTCTGGGACCTGAGCAATATTGACTGCGACGCTTCCAGTTGGGAAACGGCTGGAGAGTGAGAGAGCTAGAATCGAAGTTGTTGGGTGTTTCATAGCCGCGAAGCCTACCTGAGCACAAGAGGGCAAGCTTATTTGATGTAGTGTGTGCCGTCGGACCACCACTCAGGTGTAGTAGTGAGAGTCGGATTCCTTATTCCTCGCCCAACGTGTGAGTATCACGGCAAGGATGTCTACCTCGCAACGATACCACTCGGTACGGCCAGATGGTACCGTCAAGAGGTTGCATCCTTGCAGCCGCTCACGTAAATTCCGTGTACGATTTCGTCTGCTCACCGTGATCCATCCGCAGGTCGCCGCCCTGGCCTCCGTGAGCGCAGAGGTCAGGGGGTCACGCCCCGCCGAAATTTCGCTTTCATCTCGTCTGCTCCGCCTCGTTCGGAGGTGCGGGGAATGTCGGAACAGTTCTTTGGGACCTGTCACGCACCGTCTTCGAACGAAGCCCAGCCTCCATCGCTGAAACTGCCTGAGTCGATGTTCAGTTTGTCCATCGATACGTGTCCATCGGGAACATCGGGTTTTGAGTTGTCTGTTGGTCCTTGATTTTCCTGTGATGCTTCCTGTAGTTTTAGTGGATGCATGAATAAACCGCCTTTCACATCACCCTTCGGCCGTACAAGACAAAATACAGTGGAGAACACGCCACCCGGACGTACCGGAAAAGCGGGCTGAGGACGATCAACAGCTCCCGCGTAATGCGGGGCGGAAGGAGGCGAGGGCGCAGAAGACCGGAAGCGGTGGGGCCGAATTCGTCAGCAAACAGATATCCACACGGGGAGGATCAGTCCGGCATTCTAAAGGACCTTGCAACAGTGTTGGTATTATGAACTTCTGAAATGCCATGCGAAGATCAAACAAATCTGATCTCGAGGGAAGCGAACCTTATCTTATCGTTTCTCGAGATGTCCGATCAGTTTAATCACAACACCATCGGTACCCGCGGGTGTGACCTACGTAAACCGGAGTGTCGTCAGTCGACAATGGTTGGCAGTCACATATTCAACTCTGGCAATATGTATGAGAGCGACGTACCTGGAACGCGAGCGCTGCTATTCATGGAATGATTACCTATAAGTCGTGTCGGGTTGACAGCGACCAAGACTGGTAGCACGCCGTATCGTGCAACTTTAACACGTGAGATTCAGCCAACGGCTGGACGGAGGCAAGTTTTCTTCCACCACGAGAAGGAGAACCTTGAGCGAGATCTGGGCATGCGAAGACCAGCGGCAACTTTGTGGATGAACGCCGCGAACATCGTGCATTAACACGAAGACTTGCAGCGGCACGCCCTCACAAAAATAGAACTTGAGAGCCAGCCCAGGCGAACGTCAGACCAATAGCAGGGTACTTACCTTAACTCAAGCCACGGGGAACAAGGCGACCGTCCGCAATTCGGCCGCATTTGCTAGCTTCACGTTGAAGCCCCCGCTATTGACACGGACCGCAGGCGCCATTACTCTTCGAAATACAGATATTTCGTGCGTCAGGGTATACTGACGACACAGAGGACTTCTCCCGTCTCGGAGGAACCCGTGTATCAGAAAGTCCTTGATAGCGGGACGTCAGTGGCTTACGGTGGTGCATTCCGTGCGCAGCTGGTAAAGCATGATGGGGCCTGTATTCGCTGATAGACGCAGAGAGTCGGGGCCTTCTGGCGGCTATCCAGCTTTCCACTGACCGACGATTAACGGCGACCGTTTTCATGTTGGTTATGTGGTTAGAGTGCTTCCTGAAATAACCCGTTGAGTCATAAGACCTTTACGTATGCCGTACGTTGTCCAAAGGAAGGCGCGGCTTGAAAGACGACAGCAACGTACCCGCATTGGAATAACCAATAGGCTATGTACCTGGTCAACTACAATAAGCTCCCGACGGTAAACAGGAAGAACGTCAGCTTGATTTGCTCTCTCGGGTGTGTCCACGAAGGACAGTATCCCTGCGCACCCGACGATAACGTGGAAGTTCATGACGCGCGATGGTCGGGCGACCAAGGACACTTTGACAGCTTACACCGGCCTTTTCTGGATGGTCCCGCAGAGTCGACCACGAACGTGCCTGCGCATGACCTCGGGACCTTGTCGACCCATCCAGGCAGTGTTAGGGCACGTCACCAGATTCGTTCCATTTGTTCTTGAGTGTTGACGCCATAATCAAGCTCGCGCAGTAAATTCCACGCCAGGTTTTCGACGCATCGTAAAACCAGGTTGCACCCATTAGGTGGGGTTACCAGCATGGAGCGCAACTAAGTCGTCTGGAGACTTGCAGCATACACCGGGCAACGCATCCGCCAGAGTACCGTACATGGGCCATGCTAACCTGATACTCCGCGCACCGTCAGCTTGAGCGATAGGCCTCAAGATATCATGGTTGCTCCGTTGCTCTGGGGGACGTCGACCGGAGCCTTCTTCGTAAGGCATAGCGTCCACATTGTGCGTATTTTAGGTCCTAGTCTTCAGAGTCCGTCAGTCTCATACGGCGAGCAATAGTGCATGACAGGCTAGTCGTCGATGTCGGAGTAGCGGACGACGCGTCCATAACTCCGCAAGTCGGAGTTGATCATGCACGTGCCGCCGGCCCTCAAGCGATCACGTGCAACCGCCGTAAAAACGAAAAAGTTGTGATCCTCCACCCATCGATCTCTGCTGCTCCTTCCACTGTCCTTCTCGTCTCCCTTGTTGTCACCCTTCGCTGTGCTATAACAATGTCTGTCGATCTTGCTCAACTCGAGGCGCACCTTGCCAGCCGCTCTTACGTCGAGGGGTGAGTCATTTTTCCGGCGCACTTCTAGCTTCATCAGCTATTTTTTCTTTCCCTTTCCATGATGATTACAACGCTATGGTCCGTGTTTCCAAGCAAGCGATTAGACACCGCTGCCAAAGTATGCCGATAGCAATTACCTAGCTTTCTGATTCTTCCATTACACTGCGAACGTGTCCGTGAATCCAGCTAACCGCCTCGGTCTGCGCAGGCACACGCCCTCGCAGGCGGACGTCCACGTTTTCAAGGCGCTCGGGTCAGCTCCGGATGCGACGGCGTACCCGCATACGGCGCGCTGGTACACGCACATCAAGTCATACGAGTCTGAGTTTAGCTCGCTCGAGGGGTCTAGCAAGGCCGGCGAAGCGTTCGTCGGCGGTGCTGCTGCCCCCGCGGCTGCCGCGGAGGAGGATGAGGATGTTGACCTCTTCGGCTCGGACGAGGAGGAGGATGCGGAGGCCGAGCGTGTCAAGGCCGAGCGTGTTGCTGCTTACAACGCGAAGAAGGCTAACAAGCCCAAGACTGTTGCCAAGGTCAGTTTCCACTTTTTACCCGTTGCTGAGCTGTGCAATCCTGTGTTTGTGTATGTACCGATTGAACATGTCATTGACCTACATCAATGTAGTCCGTCGTGACGCTCGAAGTGAAGCCTTGGGATGATGAGACCGACATGGAGGCACTAGAGAAGGCCGTGCGTTCCATTGAACAGCCCGGCCTTGTCTGGGGTGCTAGCAAGCTTGTCCCGATTGGGTACGGGATTAGGAAGCTGCAGATGACTCTCGTCGTCGGTCAGTAGCAAACTCCATTAGTGCACGGTGATTACTTACCGACTCGGACATGACAGAGGATGAGCTTGTATCACTGGATGAACTGCAGGAGAAGATCCAGGAGTTTGATGACTATGTGCAGAGCACCGACATCGCCGCTATGCAAAGTAAGTGGTGGGAATCACGGACTATCGAACGTATTAACTAAACGCCCGTTCGTCAGAGCTCTAAGGGCTTGCTCGCCGTCCTGGCCGCATCCCCGTCTACTCAAGCTGTACCGGATTCCTCATATGGGTAGGGTTTTGTGGTGGTGTTGTATGAATCACATCTAGAATGCAGTTTAGTAAAGTGTAACACCAAAATTTGAATAGGCAGTCGGTGCGAATGTCATTCGGATGCTTTCCTCGAGCTTTCCTTGAGCGACCGTCGCAGCGCCATGCGCGGTTGTTGGCCGTGGCAGCGTGCCCTTTTATTGATGTATCATCGTGGGCCGGAGACGTGAGGCCCACACAAGCGTAACGTGTACAATCGCCGCGGTTCTGACGCGCATTCTCGAAACATGTCATTGTTATCTCCCTCGGGGACGGGAGAAGACGCAGAGGTCAGTCTGCTTTGTTCTCAATCGGCTGCCTGGTATACTAAGACGAGCGCTCCGTGCAGAGGCCCTGGAACGATCGACGGCGGCGAGAGAAGGATACTGGGTTTGGAGGTACGGCGAGTCTCGGGGCACACTGGAGAAGGCGCCGTGGGTGTCGGCCGCCTTCGCTGCCAGGCTGCCGGTAAGGTGGTCTTCCGAGTGTGGGGATCTCTCATCCGCAATCGTAACGTCACCCAGCTCGATGCAGTTCCTGATATTGACGCAGCCTGCATCGTGCTTCCCGTCGATCAAGATGAAGCGGCATCAGTCTCCTTCTTATTCCAGTGCCACGGTAAGAACGGCGTGTGGCGGACGATCCAGCCGTCGAGCTCATTTATCTAGCCACGCGTATCCGTTGCATCTCGCCGGACGCTTTGGTAACACCGTCGCCCCGAGAAACCCAAATGCCTTCTGCACCGCGGACCTCTTCATTACGGCTTTTGGGAGGCTTGCAGGGTCCTCTCATGCCGTGGTGTCCAGCCCTTTTCAGAAGGCTCTCTCCGGCTCTCAGGAACCAGGACTTGTTAATCCAAAGCTTCAAGATCCCGTCAGGTGTCCACCTTTTACATGTTGTGATCCCAAGCTGACGGAAGCGGTCATATTGTATCTGCGATGGACAATTCGCCACGGGGATCAGCTCGATACGTAGGGCTGCTCTTTGTGGCACAACATTCATCAATATCTTCCGTCCTATAAAGGCTGCCTTGGAGAGAAGACCTCCGACAATGGCGTTCCGATTCAGCACACTACCCCCTGCGATCCTCGAAGAGTGTACCTTTCATGTGGCGACCTCCTCTGGATGGGACTCTTCTGCCGACCTCAGAAGCCTCCTGTCCGTTAGCCGTGGACTTGCCGCCACATTGTCTCCCGCATCAGCCCCTGAGCTCTACGCACGTATATTCTGTGCATACTTCCCTGTCACCCACTTCATCGCCCCAAGCCCTGCTCTCACCGATGCATCTCTGGCTGAGGAGCTTATCGAAAGACTCCGCCTGGTCCATAGGATCCGGAGCTGTCGATTCGAGGAGAATACCATCAGAGCAGATATGTGGCGTTTACAGCTCATGATTCTCGAGAGCAACGGGGCCACCATCGAGTCGTTGCAAAGGGTCGGTATATCGAGCTTCTTGACTACCTTCCTGCAGACGCGGTTCTATCCGGCGGGTCATGGCTGGCCGTTAGCAGATGATGTTCGTTCTCTGGCTATGTGGCTGGCGTGGTACACATCCTCGGCCGGTGGGCAGCTTCTTGTATACACTCCAAATTTATCGCTCACTTCTGCCGCAGAGTCATTGAAAAGTGAATCGCTGGAGACCCGAGAACAAGTCTTGACCCGGGTGCGACCATTCGCAATGGCCTGTCCTCAAATGGTAAAGCTGCTCCTCGAGACTTCTTATGCCGTCAGAACTGACATCTTTCAGGCCTCGTCACTCAGGGCTTTCAGCTCGCTATCGGAAGCCGGGGGGTTATCTGATATAAATGGACGCTCCGCCCAGCGCCTCTGCGCCGTGACCTCTTTTTCTCAGACGCTTACTCTATCCTGCCCGGATTTGTCGTCAGCGGCGATACTCCTGACGTTTGCGAGAAAAAATGCCCTGGTAGTGCATATCCCGCAGCACCTCAACAGAGGAATGGTATCCCAGGGCACGGGGCCGACGTACAAGGACTGCTATCAGTTTCAAGCACAGTCGATCGTGCTGCTCAGGTCTCCTAGCGTCCTCCGGAATCAAACCCTAGTGTCGAACGGGCGCGGTCAGTCGCTTGGGCAGGGGGAGTGCGAATGCGATCTCCGCCGGCTCTTCATAGGCGTCGGGCATCGGGATAGCGAGGAATCGGCGCCGGAGAGACCGCTCTATCTCCTGGGCAAGTTGACCGGATCTTGGGTCGGTAAGATACTTGTAAGTCGCTCACTACTGGACAATTTCTGTATCGTATTCAGGTTTTATCTAGGTCGCGCCCCCCATGGCCATTTCCAGCGCCGCCTCTGCCGCTCAGCTGCCGGATTTTATATGCCAGCGACCCTTACGATGTAACATCCGCGAATACCTCCGACATGATTCCAGTACCGAAATATCTCAGCGCGCGGACCGCTGGTGCCTAAATGACGAAAATGCCCTTTCGTTCTGTCAAGATATCCAACGTTTTCGCGTGGTGCATGCCCAAGTACGTCTCCGGCGTTGATCCGACAATGCGTCGTCTCTATAACTGAATATCTCCACTCCAGGATAGTATCGAGCTCCATGAGAAGACTTCAGGACAGATTCAGAGATACAGCCTTGCAGAAGGTGGCGCGCGAGTCACTCGGTCAGGCTGGCCCGCAGACGTCCTGATCGCGGGAGAAGTGACGCTCTTCCCACTCATCATGGCCCGCTGATGATCTGATTACCTCTGCTATAGACTGACGCGGAGCACGATCGGGCGTGGGGCGCTTTCGTGTACATTGGTAAGGTGCGGGTTCGCGACGGGTGGGTCGTCCTCAAGAGGCAACCAGTTCGTGTACATAATTGCGATTTCATTCGTGAGGCATTGACATCCCTGATCGTTCTTGTACAGAAACGGCCAAACGACGAGTCCCAGCCTGAGTATGGCTCATGGGTGTTTGAAGGATACGTACACGCCGGGTCGTCGTTTGTTGGTCGGTGGCGTCCAGATCCGACTTTGGACGCCTCTGGCAATTGCGAAGGCATTTTTCAGCTCAAGAAAGGGGCTTGAAGGGGCTTGATAGCATTGGGGAGACACAGACGAGACACGGAAGTAGATACTCATTCTGTATAATTCATTCATAACTTATCCGCTAGAATTAGTCACCTCTCTAGGTCATATTTACTCGTACGGTTCACGGCATACGTATTCTAGACACGCCCTTCATCGCCGCACACGCTTGCCCAGATTGACGCGACACAAACATTGAGTTCATTGATGATTATGAAGTCGAAGCCTGAGTGCCATCGATTCTTCCCCGCGCACGGTGGCAGTATGCACCGCCAGATCGGAGATATACGGTGTCAGGACGGGGACTTCGATCCCCTGAGCTGGCCGCCGGCGCCGCTGGCACATGCCAAGATCCCTGGCCTCGTTTCACTGCAGGACGCCCACAGTGAATTCATTTGTCGAGGCGTCCGGAAGCACTTCAGTCCAGACGGGTAGGACGGCACCGAGGGAACGTGGACGTGTGGCAATTGCTTAATTTTTGTATCGCGAATCGTCCCGCCAGGTCTCGCCTGCGTGCTCCAATGACTACACTATTAGCACGCGTAGACATCGGGAAAACAGGCCGTTGATAAATGGAAAAGAAGGTTGATGAATTCTTTCGCTGAATTGGAATCGAGGTAGGCGGGGTTCTGAGCTCCTGGACAGCAAGAGCGACAGCATCTGCATCGTGGAAGGAGTCTTCAGTCAGTGGCAAATACGGAGAGCTCTAGGCTGACATGATAACTATACCATGTGCTTTTGAGTTCGGACGCGTGCAATTGCTGGCAGCTTCCCGTCTCCGTCTTAAAGCTTCTCCTCGAACGTCGTCCTGGCATACATTCGGATGCGCTTCTACATATCCGTTCTTAGCCAAGCATCGAAGTTATGTTAAGTTCTTGCTTACCCCGATCGAGGTGTTCCCAGCCCGGGATATACATGTTCCATAACGATGCACTAACACCGTATGTAGAACCCTAGCCGTTCACACCGGCACTTTAAAGGTGGAACTTCAATCTGCAACTCTTGACATGAAGGTCGGCGCTGTACCTGCTCCGTGTCTTGGAGGTAGAGAGGCTGAGAAGTATGGGCCCTACACCGAACAATCACGGCTTGAGGCTCGGATGGAGCTTACTTCAAATAGCCTACCTCGGGTGCAGCCCCGCCGGCGCGTAGAGATAGTCCTCAGTTTGGGACTTGTGGCACGGTACCTGGCCCGGCCCTCCAGCGACGAATCACCGGTGCCTAGCGGTCCTCTCGAAGGCTTCTGCAGCTTACGAGGCTACGCCTAAAAATCCTTGTCGGTACCGTCAGTATCAGCAGCAATTTGATGCCAGCGCCAGACCTTGTTTGCTGGCGGTCCGGACTGCTATGTTCGTGTGGGCCTCCATGACAGCTCCTCGGACGGTCCCTGAATCGAAGTCGGACCGCACCGGTGCCTATGAGCAGGTAAGATTGTCATGGCGGAGGTCGTGAACATAGTCGATAACAGAGCATCTAGGGCAACTAGAGGTTAGCCGTGTCTTTCTTATCTTCCAATCCACCTGCTTACAGCAACCTCGAGCCTGATGGCGACATACCTGACCAGCTGCCCACCGCAGTACAAGACAACTTAGATTAGATACCCAGTAGGGGATTTCGAATCGTGGACCCAACAGCTTTCGTGGCTGTGAGACCCACCTCCAGTCGGTGGTACGCTCTCATCCTGATGCTCCAATGAATGACACTCACTTCCGTGCTTCGCGGACCATTGTCAACGCTGCGCGACTCGGTCGCTATACACAAAGGAGGTGTGATGATGAGATTCCACACGGACGGGGCAGTCATGCCCTCCCTGAGGTCACAGCATAGCGGACGTGAGGCCTGCGTGAACGCATCACGCGTATCCGTACCGGCGGGCTTCGTTCCCTGTGGAAGCAACCGAGTTAGAATAGACGTCTCAATGCAGATACAGAGGAACGTTACCTCGAGGTATGTAGGGGTGCTGAATAACAGTAGTCGCCGCCCACCATGCGTACCTTCATATCTGCTCAGCGCGCTCGCAGTGGCTGCTAACCCACCGGGCGATACAAACTACGAGACATACAGTATGATTGCTATATGTTCACTTACCTTCCAGAAGGGGGGTTTGACGGTCTTACCTCATATTGGATGATCATAACACAAAATGAAAGTTCGTGCTATCGCCAGCCTCGAACCTGTGCATGTCCACCATGCATGTCAATGTGTACAACACCTAGTGGAGAACCGGCATTAGCATCGTATGACACAGACATCGATGTGAGAAACCTTTCCGGCCATGAAAGCGTAAAGCGTATACGTACGCGCAACCAGTGATTAACCCTCCAAATGCTGACATCGACATTTCTAGAGTTTCAAATCAACCTCACGCTGACTTCGGAGTACCCAATGATCACGCATGCTCACTGACAGGGACAAAATGTTCAAACTAACACCTATGCACCGGCCCATGTTCATTGATAATGACGACAATCTCATATGAATGGGTATAAAATACTAAGATAGCACCGTCCAGTAATTAAGAAGAGACACCTAAGATCGCTCTAAACCGGCGCCTCAGAGAGCCACGGCAAAGCCAGCAGCCGCCACGCTCATGGCGGAGATGAGGACACCCAAAGCACCACCCTCGACTGTCTTCCCTGCACCGCTAATAACACCCGACTTGATACCTCCGGCAGCCTGAACGGCGCCGCTCATAAAGTTCTCCCCGCACGTGCTGACAACACCCTTGTACAAGGCGGTCTGACCGCTCAGCAGGGTGCTCTTGTCCAGGCCAGGGCCGTAGGGAACGGATGACTCGAAGTTGATGTAAGAGGTCAAGATGCTACGAGTGCACGAGGTGCACAGAGTGGAGGAGGGGGTCGAGGGGGTAAGGAGGAGGAAAGGGAGGTTGTAGTTGGTGAACGTAGTCGAATTCGCCTGGATCGAGGTGACGGCACGCTTAGCCGTGGTCGAGGGGTACCAGAGGTACTTCTGCGCGGTCGCCATGTTGTTATTGGACTTGGCAGCAGACGCAATCGACGAAATGCAGTAGTTCCCGCTATCGTCCTGGGCGCAGACGGCCTGCTTCAGCGGCGTGATGGCGTAGAGGGCGTCGTACATGCGGATGACATCTTGGTTGGCGGTCGACGTCAGCTCAGCAGTGCACGCTGAGTAGAAGCTCGCGAGCTGTGTCTTTATGTTGCTATCGGAGCAGGAGCTCGAGGCGCTCGAGCAGAAGCTCTTGACTGCAGACGCGACGGCAGAACTAGAGGCGCTACCATTAGCAGCGGCTCCGAACTGCGAAGTCGCTTGGATAAGGGGGCTCGCGCAGGAGTAGAGGGTGGAGTCGCTGTTGAGCGAGCTAAGGTAGGACGAGCAGCCCTGGCTGATGCCCGAGGGAATCAACGCGCCCGCCGTGGACGATGCGCCAGCCGCCGAAGAGGCCTATATCGAACAGTCAGTCAGTCACCAGCACACATCATTTCCTGGCTATATGGGGTACGAACCGAGGACTGTGCAAAAGCAGCCGTAGCAAGTAAAGAAATTACAGCAATTGACTTCATCGCAGATGATACGTAGATGAACGAGCGGACGGTTTTACTGTCGACGACGACAAAGAGAGGATTTTCTGCAGGAGAGGGGGCGTCAGGGTCGTTGGCAGGGCGTCGGTCTTGTAAAGGTCTGTTTGAGTCGTCTTGGCGACAACAGGGCCAAACTGACGCAAAAGGAAATTGGTGGCTGACAGTCTCACAGGGCGGCAAAGGGGAACCGTTGGTTGTTGTTCGTTGCCTCGGGCAGATGGCAAGAAACGATGGCAGTGTGCTTGGTAGGAGACAAGCCAATCTACAGAGGACTAGTCGTGTCAGTCCGTCCGTCCCATTGACTGACGGGCGTTATTGGTCGAAGTATTCTTGGACTCCTAATCCGACGTTTCGCCTGCTTCCAGCCTATAATTTCTCAGAGCTGGATTCTGTTGACCACTCGAAGAGCGTATAATACTATGCAACATCGGACAAGAGACAGTCCGATTCCCATGTCGTGCACATGATCACCCATATCGATGACCATGTTGGCCCCGCATCATTGCTGTGATGTCTTCCACGGCGTCTCATGGATGGCCGTGAATCATGAACGCGACTCTCCAAAGTCTAGACAACATACCTCCTGTGCAATCGTAGGCCATGGCCTTGACGCGTGAGGTCGCCCTATGATGGGTCTCTCAGACATCGTAGGACAATCCGCAAAGGGAAGCCCTGAAGCAATGCTCGAGGTACGCAGGAAACCTCAGCGGTTGGCGCAGCCCGTAGAAGACGCCCACTAGATGGCAACGAAGGTAGCCTCGGATTTGTGATACCCGTGGCTGAAGGCTCGGAAGAAAGCAGAATGAAATGGTAACCACTTACCTCAAACTTCAGGATAGAGCGGCGGCGTCACGGCCCAAACCTGAGGTTAGGACTTCACTCACTGAGCTGGAACTCTGCAGATCCTCAAAACTGCGATCAAGACAGGCCTTTTCAGCGGCGGTGTCTAATACGTGACTTTCATGAGGACACGGCACGGGAAGAACATGAGTACTAAGCTCCGGCGGTAGTACGTACCCCTCTGTGGGTCCTGGAGACGGCGAGCATGGGTCGCCATGCCAAAAACAAATGTATCCTCCATACTAGCAACATTCTCGGGGAAACTTCACGACATGGGCGCTTGACACGCAACGTTGGATTATGGATCGAGTACAGCGTTCTGTATCATTATGCCTATAACGATAGACCTTTAATCTAGACGAACACAAGCAGGGATGCAAGTTCTTACTCACATTACAATTTACGGAGGACCTCGCAAGTATCATGCAACAACCGGTGGGTTATGGCAAAAAAGCCAGCTCTAAAGTTTGAGTACTAGAATGAACAGGGCGATTTCTACAGCTGCCACCACACCAGCCACGGCGAGGACTATCCATCCCGCGGTCACGAATGGCCTCCCATATACTCGTGTATTCTCCTGCCCGCGGGTGACGATAGCGTAATTGTGTCCAGAACCCGATATTTCCTGAGCTCTCCCTGACGTCACCTCGTCCCAGTCGACGTATGGCATGTGGTTGTCGGCGAAGTCATGCTTCGAGTGTCTAGCTCGCATGAACGAGATACCAAAGAGGAGTCCCGACAAAATCGTGTAAAGCAGCCCAACTGGGAAATGTGCAGCCAACGTCCCGTCAGAGGGGGTTACGGCCGATAGTCATAGTGAACGAGACGTACTTCGATAGAATCGCCGGTCGAAGAGTCTGAGCACGGCCAATGCATAACCAAGATTCCCGAGCGCGGTGCGCCTGTATGCACCGTCGAAGGTGCGGTGTCGCGCACGGAGCTCGATAAGCTCGTTTACGTCGGATGCTTTGAATGAGTCCGCTCGGTGGCCTCTGACACAGAGAAACAATTCATTGATTATTGAGCCTGAAGCCCGACTGAGTATGGCACCAGCCTGTATCGGTGACGATGGGGCATCTCGCCAGAATATACAGCAGACGTTCCTCGCTTTTACTGCACAAGATACCCTGGGTCAGGCTAGAGTACTAGTCAAGCAGGTAAAGCAGATGACATGCAGGCCAGTCCGAGTGGAAGCGGAGTCGGAGGACAGGCAGCATCGGCAGAAGCCGAGAGTGTAGCTGCGAATTTTCTCAAGTCCACACTTGGTTGGTCGGAGCTGTATCCCACAGAGCAGGGAGGACTACACAAAGCTCTCTTTCTACACCCGGTGCATCTGGCCAGGATTCGGTTCTCTAAGACTTCGAAGTCTAGAGAGGAGGGGTGCAAATATTCAGGCGCGACGACAGCATCGCAGAATGGCCAGCTTCTTATGCGCGAGAACGTCCGTCAGGCAAAGGTGTGTGCAATGGACAACCATGCATGATCGCCTGGATTACTTAGAACGTCGACGGGAGTGAAAGATACAACCCGATACACTACCTTTTCCCCTTCTTTGTCGCACCGGCGTATTGTATGAATTACTGATGCTTTTGCCAGGCTGTCACCCATAATATCGAGTCCGTCATGTCAGGGTAGACTATTCTCGACAGCCAGGGACTCCAAGGTACGCTGCGAGTTTACTTGGGATCACATATGACCTTAATTCAAGTAGAGCTCCAGGTCTAGTCCTTTACTGCGGACCTCCGCTGCCAGTCTACCATTAGGCATCCGGTGCCGACGAAACTTGACCGTTTCTGCTGTCCGTAGAGGTTTATTCTCCTCGGGTACCAAGAAGGAACCAGAACCGTTGTCTGCCGCACCTCCAGCGGACTCTCCGGCGCATCAGCCGTTGGAAGTAGCGAGCAGAACAGAGAGCGTGCCAGACGCCCCTCCTACAGACTTACTGCCTGATGCGGCACAAACGACAGTTGAGAACCTGTCCCTAGTTCCTGCTACAATACCTCCAATTCAGTACGGTGACCTTGAAGCTCTCGGCTTGACGTCCTGGTCACCCATCGGCCTCTCGGCCTGGGCTTTGGAAATCATCAACGTCAGCACGGGCCTTCCATGGCTGCAGACGATCGTCTGTGGCACAGTGCTCTCCCGTCTAATCATCTTTCCCATGTCGATAGCGTCCATGCGCGAGGCCGCCAAGATGGCACCCATAACCCCCCAGCTGAACCTCATCCGGGAGGAGATCGCCGAAGCTTCGAAGACCCAGAATCGCGCACAGCTGCAAAGGGCTGCGTTGATGCAGCGCAAGCTGTTGGCGGAGGCTGGTGCGAAGCCCGGTAGGATGCTGTTCTTCAACATTATGCCCTTGCCGATTTCGCTCGGAATGTTTTTCGCTGTGAAGCGTCTTTGTGAGTTCCCGCTGGAACAGCTGAAAACGGGTGGACTGGAGGCCTTTGGTGGGGCATACCTCGATTTAACCGCGCAGGATCCTACGTATGTCCTGCCCGCGATCGTCGTCGCGGTAGTAAACCTCCAGATTCGGGTATGTGGTCATGTATGTGCGAAGAGAGGCAACTAAACGAGTTGGCCCAAAGCTCGCGGCTCGTGATATGCAGACAAACGGCCAGCCGCACATGCTGCACATAATCAATGCATTCCATGTGTTATCACTGGTTAGTTTCCCGCTTATGGCCAAGCTCTCCATCGTAAGTCTCTCTGTGTTCCTCATTACTCAGGAGACTCATTAAGCCTTATGGGTGCTGCCAGGGTGTGCTCTTCAACATTATTGCTTCCGTAATCTTCTACGCTGCTCAAGTAATACTCTTGCGGACCCCTGCCATCCGAAGAGCTCTCAAGATTCCTGCGCTTCCTCAGCATATGAAGCAGAAGGTTCCGTCTTTCGTGGAGACTTTCAAGTTCGGCAAGAACTGGTATGCGCAGAGGGTGAAGGATGCCCAGGCAGCACAGGGGAAAAAGTGGTAGACCCATTTGGAGGGGATGATCCCCCGCATATCCGCATATCTATTGCTGTCGATGTAAAGTTATCATAGGATCGTGTTAATGCGTCAGTTAATAGACCTCCCCGCTGCTCATAGCTCTTAATTATGCCCTTCGACGATGTCGCGCGTTCCGCTCATTATTATAAGGACTGCATACCGCCACAGCGGTACCTCTCGGTACCCCCGTGAAGCTTACTACGCTTATCACGTTACCGGATTCCCAACAACAGGATTGTGTTTGATCAAAACTATGCCTCATGTCCATTGTTTACGTTGATTTTCGCTTGGTTTTCTTCGTTGCAGCCCTGTAATGGCATCTTTTCAGCAAACCACGTTCAGCAATGGTGAGTTCACTTCATCCGTGCACTCTTCACTCCCTGACCTTGAGTCGCTACAGGCTAAGAAGAAAGCTACCGCGAAGAAGGAGGCTGGGGCCGGTAAGAAGGGGAAGAAGAAGGGCGGTCCTCAGACCGAGGAAACCCCTGATACGCCTCCCGTTGTTGATCCTTTCGCAGAGGAAGGCGGCGAGGAAGGCGAAAACGCAGAGCGCGACCCAGACACTCAAGAACAGGGCGGCGACCTCAGTGCCGAACCAGAGGCTGGGGCTGAGCAAGCTCAACCTACCGAGACGGCGACTGGTGGGGAGCAGGGGAACGCCGCAGAGAAGGAGAATGTAGAACCCGTCAGCAGCTGGGATGATCCTTGGGGTGAAGTTACAGGCGGCAGGGCTGGGCAGGCTGCGACCGAGGGAGAGACGGGCGCTAATGGCGGCGAAACGGCCATGATGGAGAGCGAGACCACTCCCCCGGTTGAGTTCCTGCACGATGAGCCAGAGACGCCCGCTGACTCCCAGCCTGGGGGGCAGGAGGAGGCGGTGCTGTCACCTCTTGACGGACAGTTCTCTGCATTCCAAGACTTTGGTTTGACTCGATCCCAAACAGATCCCCCAGTCATCGAGTTCCTGGGAAATGAGCCGAACGAGACGCCCGCCATGGAAGACCCGCATCCAGTCGCATCGGATGTTCCTCAGGCGAGTGCGCCAAATTAGACTTTTAGCTTCTCCGGCCCACTAATGGACCGTGTTTCGTAGGTTCCTGACCCTCCCATAATATGGTACTGCTCGGGTACCAAGGTTACGGAGTCTTTGGGCGAGAAGATTGACTCGAAGGCTCGCGAGGATGTCCACAAGAGTTTACCCAACTATTCTCCGACCACTTGGGAGGAATGGGAACAATTCATAGCCGACCAGAAGGAAGGGAAGGGAGCAGAACGCGACCTCAGACGTGTGATGTGCTATTTCTCCATCCTGAAGATCAACGGTCAGGGTAGTATCCAGCTGGTCTCACAATTCGCGGAACAGCCAATCGATCTGCAGCAAGGTATGTAACTTCGCGGGAATCATTCATGCTGAGGATTCATGTTTTCGCGAGAAGGCGACTCAATGATTATCCCCGCTGTCGATCTGCCGCCTGCCGTATTCAAACGCGACTATAGAAGACGAAAGACAAAGACCAAGTCTGTCTTCAAGACACCTTTGATGAATGATATCCTCATAGAGGGCAGGATGCAAGTGCTCGCTATCATGTCATACTGGGTCCCGAACGACCAGTAAGGAATCCGAGTCCAGTTTCTCCATCTATTCGTCCCCTTCGTTGTCTTCAAGACGTATCCGTTGCTGTATCCTTATACCTAACTATCGTGTATCGTCGAAACGTCGTTGTGCCTTGCTTTCGCTGTTTCCAACATATCGCTGGCTTCACATCTTTTGCGTCGATTCAGTTTTGCTGGGCGGTAAGCCCCTTACATTGCGACCTTGTGAGTACAATAGCGGACTAGATGTCCACTCAATAAGATAAGCTTACCACAGAATCCCGTCTAACAAGGAATCCGCAATCAATACATCTACAGACCTAGGATGCGCACTGACTACGATACATTCCCCCCGTCTCGCGAACTCCTCAGCATAGGGCTCGGAAACCCTCTCTCCATCCTACTCTCGTCCCCAGGTGTGGGTGTGGCGGGGAACTCGCTCACATTCGCCGCCCCTGCGTTTTGCGACCCTCCTGCTCCAGGAGCAGGCGGTCTCGACGGTCTCCCTAACTCTATCTCAACGCCATCTTCGTCATCGGTGCTATACCCCGGTGTCGCCGCACCGCTGTGAACGCCCGTGCCCGGCAGGCCCGCGCCGCTCGACCCGGCAGCACCCACGCGGCCTGCTACGCTATTCCTTTGTGCTCGCCGAGCATGGAATGTGCGACTCGCCGTTGCATTGGAGAAGAGCGGTAAGAGGTAGCGCTCGTCCAGCGCTTGGAACCACTTGCCCTCTTGGCCCGGTACGGGCGTTCCCACATCGCCGTCCGACCGGGTTCTCGACAGTCGCCCGCCAGTACCCGTTGTGGTCGCCATAGGCAAGACTTCGCCGGAATCCGACTCATAGCCGTCTGACGAAGACGCGGCGGAGAATATGGCGTTGTTGTTCAAAGGAGAAGCTGGAGACGAAAGTGATGCTTGTGCAATATGATTGTAACTTCGCGGTGACTTGCCATAGTGTACGCCGATGCGGCTCGCGCCAGCCGCTCTCTGCTGCTGTGAGGCGAAGTAGCTCGCGTCAGTTGTACGCGCGCCGTAAGCGTCTTCATCGTAGTATCTCTGCCACGCCGGCCCGTATCTGCTGTTGAACAACCGCATATCGTCATCTTCATCGCTGCTAGCAGCTTCATCTTCAACGCCAGTCCTGATGCCGAGGACTTCCAGCATTCTAGCCGTAGTTCCGCCGAACAGGACCACCGTGAGCACGACAACGACTAGGACTGTCATCCTCAGGACCTGTGCGTTTTCCCCTTTGAAACCAGCGGCCAGGGCAACGCCTACGGCGCCTCTCAAACCTGCCCAGAAGAGCATCATCTGGTACGAATGCGGGAGCTCGTCATTCCGTTGTCCTCGGGCATGTCGGTGGAACAAATTAATCGCCTCGGACAGTGGGAAAACAGCAGCATAGCGGGTGAAGATGACCGCTACAGTGGTGATGATGATGAACAGCGGCTTGAAGTAGCTGGTGAGAGCCTCGCCAGAAGGAGCGCTGGTGAATAGAGACAAGCCCAGGTAGACGAATATGAAATTCTCAGAGAGCTGTGCAAGTGTCGAGAATATGTACTTCGTCGCGCGCTGCGTGCGCCTCGACATGGTGTGGTACGCGTAGTGCTTGAGCGTGATGCCGCAGAACAGAAGGGAGACAATCCCCGACATGGAGAGACCGTTCGAGAAGAAATAGCAGGTATATGCCGATAGAGCTACTAAGCACGTTTCGATACCGGGGTAGTGCATCAGTGAAGAGTGCTTCAGGACGAGGGACATCGCAAGTCCGGAGATCACGCCAAGGGCCATGGACACTAGGAAAGAGAACAAGAAAATCCCGATTCCGTGGAAGAGGGATGAGATGTATATCTCGGAGCCGTGGAACTGTGTCAGTGTCCTACGGTATGCGTGAGTAATGCAAAAAACAATCAAAGTGTATGTAGTTCGGGCACTTACTCGTACATAACGATACTGACAGCATCGTTCAGCAGACTTTCACCGAATATGACACTGTACAGTTTGGGGTCGACTTTGTACTGGTTAAAAATTGCAAGAATGGTGACAGGATCCGTAGCAGAAAGTGTGGACCCGAAGATCAGGCATTCCAGCAACCCTAGTTCCAGGGATTCTAGCCCTAGGAAGGACCATATGTAGACGAGCACTCTGTCCTGTACGGATGAATACATACTGCGATACGACGGGTATAAGAGAGCAGTCTACGTACCCTACGCCTACTGCTGAGATGAACGTTCCGAGGAAGGCGAATGTCAGGATTGAGCCGAAATTCCGGAAGAAGTTCTCCTGTAATGCCAGACATATGAGCAGCTTCCACGTTCTAAATCTCCTGCTGTGCATACCTGTTTCAGCTCATAACCAGAGTTCAGGATTATGGGTGGGAGTAACAGGTTGAAGAACAGCGTATGCCGGAACGTCTACGGGCACATCCTGTCAGTTCCCTGCGCAATACCCGACACCTCTGCACCCCCACCACCCCCGCCCAACCACAGCACACCATTCCTTCGATAAAGCTACACTGAACAACCACTCACAAGCATCTCCTTAATCAAATGCCCAGGACTCAGCCGCACGATCAGGCCCACAAACATCCCCGCAACAATCGCCACCAGCGTCTCGTGTATCGCGCGTATGCGCTTTATTTGCAGGTAATACGACGTCCATAGCGACAAGATGAGGAGCATGCAGACGAGGAAGAGCGACCATGACGAGTAGTACTCTTCCTCCTCTGGCACAGGTTCCGAGGAGGGAGACGGAGAGGCCGCCGCAAGCAGCGATACGGGAGTGCCGAGTGAGATGCTCATGTCACGGTATAAGCCTGCTCAACCTAGGTCGCACACAGGTCGGCCTCAGGAAAATGTATAAGCAGTACTTCCAGCAGCGGACGTGTCAGTAGAGCATGTGGACGCCTACGATCGGTAAGGCTGTGGCCAGTATGCTATAGAACGTGCGTTCCCACGGTCAGAAAGCCACAAATCTCACTTGCTCTGGAGGCGTGAGACCGGTCTAAAATCGACCGGTATATTCGTTCACTAGACAAATCAATTTCGGTCGGTAGAAGGCTGAAATTGTCCGCTTACCGTACGAAAGACACCGTATCATTTTGTCCCACCAAATTGTGAATTTCGACCCCCCTCAGAACGGCCGAAAATGACATTTTCCAACTGTTTAGTGGTCTATTTCCATCTGGTCATTCAAACCACCATTCCTTGGTTTTGGCACCCCTAGCAGTCAGTGTGCAATGCAGTTGAGGCACCAACATATTTGTATATTCTCTATGTACACCGCCGAAGCGAGTCCACTGCCATGCCACATGTGGTCCTCATCGAGCACAGCCCTCAGCTCCACATGTAAGTGAGTAGCGGTGAAGCTGGCTGCCACCCTCGTCGGTCTCTCAGTCCAGCTTGTGACCATATCCACATTTCCGCTACGTGGCGTTGTAGCCTCATAGTCACCTGTAATTCAATAGATTTTACCTGGATCACCATAAGTCAAATGTATGAGACTGAGGCTTGATTATACGTCTGGAGCTCATATTGTAACCACGGCGTGCGCAACACCTGCGCCATATGCCACTCCGGCTGTATTCTCCCTCAATACCATCCTTAGTTGAGCGAGATGTATATGTGTAATAACATTGTTCTCTGTATTGAGCATACACCCAAAAAGCATGGATTCCGCAAATGAATATTACACTCCGTAATACATCAACATGAGGGGGACAACAGAACCACCCCGCTGCCCCGACTGAGCCTACACATCCTCCTCGATGACTTCATCCACCACTTGCTGCAGTGAGTCCTCTTCTTCTTCAACCTCTTCAGCCCTCTCTGACTCGACATACACTCCATACGCCTTGCGGTCTTCCTCCAGGACCATCTTCAATGCTCTGCCAGTTACGGGGTAAGAGACGCTAGCATAGAGAGCTCGAAACGCAAGGAGAACATACCGATTCATCTTCCCTTGATCACCTTCAGCAAGCTCCCGCATGAGCTCGAGTCGACCGTTGACAGCAAGCCAGTAATCAGAGGGGTCAGCCTCTTCCTCTTCGTTTTCTCCGTCATGTGCAGTGCCATACTTCTCCTTGTACACTTCCCTCTAATGATTCACAGTTGGTCATAGGTAGCCCAGGTCAGCTCCCTCTCGCAAAGACTCGTAGGGCACGTACCATGACAGCAACTCGAGCACACAATTGGGCGGTAACCGTGTTCTTGCTGGTGGCAAAAGTCTTCGCCAGCTTGTAGATATTGGTGCATTTAGACTTGTCTTTATTCTTGAGGCTGGTTGCGATCTCATGCAGCACTGAGTTAGATACGGAAAATCACAAACAAGAGAGCTATACACACTGCTTTCTTCCACTTCGACCGAAGCTGTGTCAATGAATATTGAATATACGTTTGCACCTTGCTCCAGTCGGCTGGGTTGCGTTCGAGATCCTTCGGGAGCTCGTGCGCCTGATATTTCTTGAGTAAATCCTGGTAAACACGTTAGCACACCCTTCCGGACGTGATATGCACTCACTTCAACATAGATACGAGGGACGTCGCCTTTGTAATGCGATATCTTCGACGATAGAAGCGTCGCAAGTACATATTTGTCGATGGATTTCTAGCGTCGTGCGTCAGAAGCCACACGAGAGTAAGGAGTCGAAAAGACGAACCTTAAGGCTATTCGAAACAGTGTAGGGGGGCTGGGCGGTGATGATCTTGTCGAGTTTGTTGAGGATAGCTTGTTGATCCGCCCATATGATGTACAGGCGCTCCGGCATGCCGCGCTAACGAGAGCCACATACCGTACCAGTAATCAGCCACAAACAGAGTGAAAGCACTGCATGCGCAGTACTTACCGCATTGAAGTCATCACCCCGCTCTTGTTGTTCTTTTGTAAGCTTGAGCTTCTTCGAGTAACGGTGCGCAAAATGCCGGAGGCGGCCATTGTCGGGCGTGCTTGCGGTGGCACCTGCGTGAAATTGAAGGACCTCGGGTGAATTGAAGGACACAGTTCCCGTTGTGTCGTTCAGGAGAGTCGGATCGATATTTTCATGGCCTTCATTTGTTAGAGACTCTGCATCGTCGCCTGGATGATCAGCATCCATGCGCGCCCGCTTTCGCTGTAGCGGCAAAGAATCAGCGGTGTGGTCGGGGCTCTCGTTGGGTGCCATTGCAGATTTGAAGCGTTTGATGGTGGCTTCAGAACGGCTCATTTCGAGGCAATACTCTGGACAAACAGATTAGCGAAATGTGTGGTGGAGGAAGGAAAGGTGTGCCACTCATCTAACGCACCTTTATAAGCAGACGCGTTGTGGCAGATTACTCGATATTCGCACGGTCGCGTTTGCCACATTCAAGTCGTGGCTTCCGAATGCTTTACCTTTTGCAGCTCCGGAATTAAGACTTGTCCTGGCCATCGCTCCCGTATCAACAGAAGTATGCCGGTTCTTGCAGCACCAGCGCCTCCATGTAAGCAATACATTCCTTGTGATATTATGGGCAGGCCACTTACGATTTTTTCAAGACTTTGAACAGTCTCCTGAGACGAAGAAGTTCCGATGTATTAAGTGTGCCCCCTATGTTCCACAGAACCGTCAATGGATAGAACGGAAGAGTCTGTCAGGACATATCACATCTCCGACTCACCTCTTGAATGCCAAGAAATATGAAGCTCGCCGAGCCAAGGAAAAAGAGATTAAAGAACGAACTGAGCAATATGAGGCGGAGTTACGCACCCTGGAGGCAGACGGCGGTTCCTCAACGCTCAGGCCTGCATACATCACTGCGCGCGAGAAGCTGACGGGACTTGAGAAAAGCGAGATGTCTGCGTCGGAAGCGCGGATGTGGGAAGATGTCGAGATGGGTAGTATTGACTTTGACTGTGGTCTTGATCCTGAGGAAGAGGAGCGAGTGCGGCTGGAGAAAGCTATCACACGCTTATGGGGTGCCGTAGATGAGCTCGACTTGGCAGAAGACAAGCACATCGATTCAGATGTGGTCGATCGCCAGTGGGAAGACTTGAATGCAGAGGAAGATATCCTCGCAGATGCATTGGAGAACATCAGTGAGTAACATATATAATCTGAATATAGTCCGGGCTCACTGTTGGCATGATAGAGGAGCACGAACAGCTTACCGTTGATGAGATCCGTCAGCATGCATTCGGCGAGCTGCCTGCTTGCTCTCCGGGGTCTGAATGGTTTCCGTATGGTTCGAAAACAGTAAGTGAGGCTACAATATACCTTTATAACATTCAACTTATGTCATTATCAGATGTTCCTCTTGGATATGATAGATAACTTACCGCGCATGAGAGTCTCAGACTCCTTGATGCGGATTTTTATCTTTGTACTCAAGGAGTCGGGTTCAAAGGATGTACCATCATTTGATGGACTCCGTCATCTGCAAAAGCAACTACGTGAGCATTGTGGCATCCCCACTCGTCAACACCAGACGGGGAGAGGGAATATATTCTACTACAATGATGTTCGCACATTGATTGCAAAAGTACGCTGTCTGTGACATGCCTGCTAAGCTTCACTTACCTGAAAGTACTAGGACTGGTCCACCCTAGCTGTTCGTAAACATATGCATCTGTATCCCGTGATACCAAGTGGTGCAATCAGCGAGGTTTGGCATGCGGAGAAGTTCCGAAAGGAATTGGACCTTGACATGCTCAGTCCGATGTATGATGCTGGTCAGGATCATCACTACTACGTCAACGAATTTGCGCGTATGAAGAATGGACAGTTTACTGTACCTATACGCTGGCTGGAAAGGGAAACAGATGGGGAGATTGTTGCTGATGCATATGCTGTCCGACCAAATGAAGATGTATGTTTGTTTGTGACATGAAAGTCCAGTACCAAGTTTTAATAATTCACGCTATTCACAGGGGACATACAGGGTTGACGACACCAGTACAATAATAATTGAGACGAAGGACCTTGAGGCGGATTTCCTAGATCTGATAGACCGCAATCTGGTACCCAATTGTGACCGTGAGTAAGCCCTCAGAAGCACCGCACTTAATTCTGAGTTGCCTTAAACAGAAGCGACTACAGATGCCGGGCATCAAGCTCGTATGCCCAATCCTCTCCGTGAAATTGCCGGGGGTGATCCACTCTATACGAGCTTCATTGACTATTGGTCAGACGATGTATCGGGAAATAGATCCAAGTCGTATAATAAACATATCAATGCATGTGTGGTCCATCGAAACCTTCCACGGCATCTGCTTCAGCAGGAAATTCATGTCCATTTTGTTTCAACATCTCAGCATGCAAGTGCTCCTGAACAATTCCGAGCATTTAAGGAGACGGTTGAGTACGTGAGTATGACATAACTTCATCCTATCAGACTAATGGTGCTGTAGAGAGACACATCATGAGCCGGTCCGAGTCCGAGATGCAAAGACAGGGCAGGATACACGATTCCGTCTGTTTACGAACACTGGTCCAGGTGATAATCCTTTACAGAGTGAGATGTGTGGCCACATTGGTGGGAAAGGCAATTATTATTGTAGAAAATGTAATGCCGGTGGAACTCAGGAGTACAAACAGACGGATGAGGGGTATGAAAGCTTATTCCATGTGCGTTACACTAGTATCTGATATATAATGGCTGGGTACTCACACTTACCTTCCAAAGGTTGGTGCTTCTCGCACGGCGCAGGCAACAATCACAGAAGTGGAACGGCAGTTTGATGCTGCCACCACTGGAGTAGCCAAGCGTGTGGAGGAACTCCAGACATCAACAGGAGTGAAGGATGGATACAGTCTACCATGGATTGACCAAGTAATTGACCGGGCTCGGGAAATGAAGAAGGACCGAAAGCGAACTGCAGCAAGTATAAATGCCGAGCTCATGGAATGGGTACAAAGCCGAAGACGTGATGTTATTAACCCTGTGCTTACAATGAAAGGTTGGCTCGTATTTGTGTATAACTTTATATCGCTTGACTCTAGGGCTTCCAGGATTTGATCCTGCAAAAGATACGCCGGTGGAAATATTGCATACAATACTCCTTGGGATTGTAAAGTACACCTGGCATGGGACACACAGTGCCTGGTCCGATGAGCAGAAGAAAACATATACCATCCGGCTACAGTCAATCGATGCAAACGGGCTCTCGATTCATCCAATACGGGCTGAGTACCTCATGCAATACGCTAACTCACTTATCGGGCGGCAGCTGAAGACGGTTGCACAAGTCAGCATCTTTGCACTTCACGATCTCGTGGACCCGGTATATTTCTTACTCTGGAAGGCATGCGGTGAATTGATTGCACTGCTATGGTATCCTGAAATCCATGATATGGATGAATACTTTGTAAGTAGCATATTCTAGCCGATTAATTAGTCTCTGAGGATCACTGTTCATTCAGCAGGACCTTGATGTGGCAGTAGGAAATGTCCTGGATACGTTTGCAGAGATCGACCCATCAAAGATCATCACGAAGATGAAGCTGCATCTCCTCCCGCACATAAAGGATGATATCCGGCGCCTGGGGCCGATCCTGGGGGAAATGGACGAAATTTTTGAGTGCTACAATGGGGTATTCAGGAACTGTTCAGTGTTTTCAAATCATCTAGCCCAGCCGTGATATTGCAATCAATTTAGCGTGTCAGGAGGGGTTTAAGCACCGTATATTAGGTGGGTTCTGGCCATCAGCAATAGATAACAATGGCTGGGAATGTGCTGGGCCTAGTGTAAGGGATTATCTTCAGCAGCATCCCATTATCCAAAGGCATCTTGGATGGTCCACTGGTAATGATCTGCCCATCGGTACATCCTCTTTTTCCCCTTGATCCGACACTGTCACTGACAAGCACTCAGGCTCCATTAGATTGGCTGCTTATCTGCCGGGTAAGGGCCAGCGGAAACGGTGTACTGCTGAGTGGGAGAGCACTCTTGCCTATAAGGCGGTCAACCGTGCTTCGGTCAAGGCCAAGGCCTCATCAAAATGGCTTCCATGCAAGTATGTAGTATCAAAGACCCACGAAGCCTGTGGCTGTGGCACCTGGGTTGTGGCAGAGTCCCCAATTGCTGTATGCCCACTCTGCAATACCTCCGTAAAGATTCTGACATGTATCATGATGCAGGACCCACCTGAAAGGATGATTGGTCGCATTGTCGAGATCCTCAAGGATGAGGGAAGTGATGAGATTGCTACTACATTGGAGCGCTTCGACATTGGCCAGACACGTGATGCAATATTTGGCATGCCGACGCTTTCTCGCCGCTGTGGAGAACCAACACTCATAGTGGTTTCTGCATCGGTATGTGCCTTAGCAAAATCTAAAGACTAGAGACTAACAGTGTTTGTTCTGAAATGCTTAGATGATTGATTTCTCTATTAATGTTCTGCATAACTGCCAAAAAGAGATGTGCGATGCTTCGGGACGTAGAGCAAAGATACAGGAACGTCTCGAGACAAACATTGTGGAGACCTTCATCCAGCATAAGTCGAAGGATCACTATCTGATCAATACTCATTCCCTGCATAATCCTCACCTGCTCCGTCAAGTCCTGCCTCGACACCTCACACGGCCTATGCCAAGGTTTCAAGGAGAGAATGACCGCCGGGAGAAGCATGCCGAGTTTGCGGCAAAACTGCGGGCTGACACAGATGTGAAGCGGAAGAAGGTGGAGGATGCAAAGGCCCAGAAGCAGCGGGAGGACAAGGAGAGTGCTCGCATGCAACAAGCAGATGACAGGAACACTCACGAGCAGCGGGAGGCGGGTGTTGAAGCCCTGGAGCAGCGAGAAGGGGATGGACCATCTGCCAAAAAGCGGAAGCATGCTTAGTGCTTTTATGATGTATTTTATGAGTATCCTAGCTTGATTACCATGTTCAAGGGACACCGAAAAGTGTGTCACAAATCTACATGTAACTCATACCACTGAGTGGTGAATGACACCTGCTGTCGAAGTGCAGAACGTGGCCTCAGCCACATAGATTCACACCTTGGGGTTGTATGGCAGCTCACTGCTCTCACTGTGGACGGGACTCACGGTGATGAGCTGCAGAAATAGTGAACGACACTCATATGAATTTGGAAGTCCAGGTGGAATCGCCACATGCATTCCATACGGGAAAACACGTAGCTGACGGCGGTGTGTGGCGGAGATCCATGGTGTATCTGTACATCAGCTACACGTGCCACACTCACGTTGCTTCCTGCTCATGGTGCTTTGGCGGTGTAGAATAGTACAGCAAACTGTGTCATACCCGCCCTGACCCTGAACCATGCATCCCCCAGCCCCCCCTCCTCGGGGCTCCCTATTCAAATCCCTACCAACAGCAACAACACAAAGACTACCTGCCAGATGTTAGATCAGTAGAAGTCATACCACGGCCTCAAGGAAGCACTCACGTACTCGCATAGCTCGACACTGGAGATGGCGGCAAGGTGGTTGATACACCGATCCTGTCGAGATATCTTAGATTCAGTAAACATATTGTACAACGGGTACCATACTCACTTTACAACAACCAACCAACTATCAGGCCTACGACACAGACACGTATTAGACTTCGTCGAGACGCAGGATCGAGAGAATGGACGCACCTTAGTGACCGAACCGCGGCCATCATCTAGCCTGCGACAGTACACGTTCACCGGGGAAGAAGGGCCATGTATACCAGCGGAGCTGCTCACTGCGGCGTCGGCGGCGTCGGCGGCGACGACGGCGCAACAGCGAGCTCATGGCAAGGGCCGGCGTCGAGGTCAGAGGCAAGTTGAACATGTCACGAAGTGACGCAAGTGGGGCTATCATTCCGATCTTCGAACTCCGACCTGTGGGTTCTCACGACTGCTGCTGCGGATTCAACAGACAGAATTCGACCGTTTATCGTATGGAATGCCCAAGTTCGGAATTCCAACTGGTTTCCATACGGCAAGCTATTTCGACCTTATTCGACCACTTTTTGGCCGAAAGTACAAAATTGACCCATCACCGGTCTAATTTAGGCCGGCCTGGCGCGCACAGTGTTGCCTTTGCCACAGTACGCAGTGTTACTTGCGCAGTATCATCATTCAGGCTTTCAGCTACAGCAGCAGACATGGGAGGAACGATCTCGAAGCTGATATCATTACAGCCAACGAACAGTAAGCGATAAGTCAGAGCAACAAAACAAATTACAAGAAGGGAGTCAGCAGTAGATGGAATAAATAAGTGTTGCATGGGCGGAGATAGAGTACCGCGGCGCATGGCCTACATCTTTTCAGTATAACAGTCTTCAAGTGGCCGTGGTTACTCTATAATAGGTCAGCTCGTCGTAAATGGTCCCTCAAGATACCCTCCTCCACTGGGTGCTGAGGTCAGATACTATCAGTAGTGAAAGGTATTGCCAACACCCACCTACGCTCAATGTGGCTGCTGTGGACTTTGTGTCCTATCAATGGCAAGTGCGTGAGTAGCTAGCCTCCACGACACCAAAAGACTTCCTCACGGTAGCTGTAGTCAGATGGACGAAGAACGGGCGCGGCTCCGGATTGCTCTGCTTCGCAATCTCCCTAAAATGTTGCTGGAAGTCTGGCCCCAACCCAAATCAGCCATGCGCGCCCCCTCCCCCTGCACGAACCACATACATTTCGTAGCAGTAGCCACATCATTGCTCCTGTCCCCAAAACTCGGCACATAGTCCTTCACCTTCACCCCGCTCGCGAGCTTCTTCTCTAACAGATCGATCTTGTTCAGGAACAAGATGATCTGCGTCTTCGCGAGCGGCTTGCACCCGCAGATGGCTTTCCAGAGGAGGTAGCTGTCCTCGAGGCGGTTGACGCGCTTGTCCTCGGCGAGCTTCTCGTCGAACGCGGAGATGGGCGCGAGGAAGATCACCGCGTCGACGTCGTCGAAGTAGGGGACCCATGCGGCGCGCTGATAGAGCACGGAAAGATTAATGCATGAGAACAGATTACGAGGGGCACTCACACTTGTTCGTGCACCACCGACGTCGTACATGAGCCATTCGTGGCCTGCTGTACGGCCTGTCGTGAAACATGAGCAAAGGCACACAGTGAGCCTAGACAACACTCGCCTATCTCAAAAACGAATCTATACTCTTGCACGCCCAACGTTCGGAGACGCGCACGCACGACATCATCGTCCGATGGCTCGTAGTCGCGCGTCGCTATCCGGTCGATATCGTTCAGAAAGCTGGGGAACAGATTGCTAGTCAGCAACCACGGAACATCTCAGCATCCCAGCAGGCAAAAATAACGCACAACCCGGAAGACTCCTCCATCCTTATCTTGTTCTTCCTGAGCACGTCTTGCAGGACCGGATCCTCCCACAGCGCTTTCATGTCCTCGCGGCACGTCGCCAGCACCTCGGTCACGTCCTCCCCCGTGTCGAAGTCCTTGCTGCGCCGCCCCTCCGCGCGCCCGAACGGCCTGAAGTTCTTCAACGCCGTCTTCCAGTTATTCGAGCGCACGTAGAACTCCTGCGGGCGGCGAGGGCTGTCGAACGGCCCTGCCGACGTGGATGAGGACGTCTGCACGAGCTCGGATGCACCGGACCCGAGCCGCGCCTCGAGCTCTTCTTGAATCCGCCGGAGAGGACCGAGGCGCAGCTTGAGGACGTGGTGGTGTTCTGTAAAGGGCGCGGGCGCCGTACTCGGATTCATATCTGTATCTGCGGAACCTGCGGCAGCGTCATCCGCTTCGTCGTAGTCGAGGTCGCTGTCGGGCGAGTCGGAGCGCGGGGCGCGCGTGCCCATCTCGCGCGACATGATGTCGAGAAGGGTGTTGATGTTCCTGACGAGGTTGAATTGGACAACGGCCTTCCACGAGGAGCGGTCCTCCGCCCATGCCTTCCGGGCATAGGTGAGCTGGAAGTCTGGAGCCTGGTCACGATGCGCCCCGACGTGAAAGATGATTACATACTCTTCAGTGTTGTGGATTTGCCTGCACGCAGGCATTCAAGTCGGTGTTACAGCGGTGTCTCGGGATAGGCATAGTGTGTACGAACCGCTCTCGCTTTGCCCTAGCAGCAGGACTTTGACTGGTCTCCGCTTTTTCATGGCAGCCCTTTCCTGCCGCAGCATCTCGTCGATCTCATCGCTGACTCTTCGTGCCTCCGCCTCCCTCTTCTCACGCGCTATGCGCTCTTCGTGCGTCTCATTTGCGGGGGGCGCTATCGCGAGGCTGAGGGGGTCGTCTACGTCGATCGAGCGGCCCATGGCTGCTGGTGTCTGCGGGCTGGTGGCGGTGGAGGAGAGGAAACGCCTCCGACGTAAGGATCAGGCGCGCTGGAGGGAAAGACAAGGGACTCGAAGAGTGATCATCTGTCAGAGAAGAAAGATGGCGGGAGTCGCGACCAAATATACGCACCAGACGCCATAAGGGGGCGTGTCTTCCTGATCGTACATGTTTATTATGGAGGCGTCTATGCGGACGTTTCCCTGCGAGCGGTGATTGGCTGCGCACCTGCTGGATGGCACACCGAGTGCCCCAAGAGTACCCGCATGGGTTTAGCCGCCACTGGGCACTTTGAGTTGCTGTGGCGATTGACGGCTTCCCTGCAGACGAGCAGTGCTCAATCAGAGGCCCATTTCCTATGTCGGGCTCATGCCAGATTGGATCTCCTTCCGACGTCTCGCCTAGAAGCGACGTCTGCTCGTGTGCTCTGACCGATGCAGAGCGGATTCTGGTCATTCTGGTCATTCTGGTGAATCCTCCGGGAAACCTTAAAGTTTGTTCGGTCACGATGCCTTCATGGACGCAGCAAGCTACGTGTATCTGGCAGAAGAAAGACCCAGAAAGTGGTCGGCTTCACCTCAGCCACAGCCAAGTAAATGCCTCAGGCACGACACTTGTCGTCCAGCGTTCCCCGCCAATCGCTTACGCCCTGTCATATTTACGAGGACTGATTTTCAATCTATCGTACACCTCAATCTAATTCAGCCGGACTTAGTAGGCAATTCCGAGGACACAGCTCAATCTCTCTGGTTCGCAACGCCATACAGAATAAAACGTTTCTCGAATTCGAAAGAAACCTCGCAGCGACGGGACTAGTTTCTGAGGGCAGACCGCATCGTCCCCCATCAAGCAAGTGCGGGTGGTGTGATGTCCAGGGCCGACGTTCCGCCATCGGCCAAAAGTGATGCGACGCCCAAGCTCGACGTGCCCAGGGTTGTCCCACATGCAAGTCCTCGCTGCCCATGTTGGCCCATGGCTCGGGCAGCACCAGATCGTGTCAAGGCTACCGGTGGAAGCCACAACACCGGGTGACACCCAGAGAACACAATACGACCAGCAGGAAGGAAGTCGTTCATGCTCGCGCTCACAACCAGACCATCACGACAAAAAGTCGATAGGGTCCGCATCACTGTCTACAGCATGCACAGGCGACGAAAGCCGCACGCCCGGTTTACGCAGCAGCGAGTCCAGCACGCTCTGCGGCGGTCCCCTCGGAGCGTCAGGGAACTGCAAGATACGTCGACGTTCCTATCAGACAGACAACATAGAACATAGAGGAGGCAGAACTCACTTTTGGCCCACCGCGTTTCCTTGCCTGCCCAGATTCTTTAGCAGTCTTGTTCTCTTTCTCTCCCCTACTAACATTAGAGTTAGAGTCGGTCTGAGCATATTTGTCGAATTTGTGGACATACCCAACACTGCCGGGACCAGGTTTCGCCCCGGCTTTACCAGCATCTGACGGGGTCGCTGCAGAAAGCACGGTAATAGGAGCTAAGGCTGCGCGTCCCCTCGAGCTATCCACGACGTTAACGCGCTTACGTTCGTCCTCTCCCTGTCCCTGTCCCTCTTCCACCTCATGCTTGCGCGCACGCTTCTTGACAGGCGCTTCCCTATCTTCCACTTTGCGCTTGGACGTCTTGGTCTTCGCGTCCTCCGAAGGCGCTGGTTCTACTGTCAGATCCCCGGAAGCATCAGCGGCAGAAGGGACCGCGGAGGTGCCAGTGGACCCTTTCCGCGATCCAGCCCTCCCCGCGCCAGACTGCGATCGGACAGTTTTGGACGGCGGTGCATCGTCCTGATCCTTAGATACTGACTTGGAAGCTGCTGCTTTCCGCGGCACTTCTGTCGTCTTATCGAAGTCTACGCCAGCGTCCCCTGATTTAGTCTTCTCCTTCCGCATGGAGGTGCTCGCAATATCGGTGGGACCGTCAGTCTGTTTCGGCTCTACGCGTGGTTTCTTGCGCGGGGCATCCTCCCGGGTGCTAGTGGGGGCGGCAGCTACCTGCTCCTCTGCCTGGCCTTCTTCGACGTCGCTCATGATCGTCAGAGGACGCTTCTTCCGCTTCACAGCAGACACCTCTTCCGCGGCAGACTTTCCTTTACCCGTCTTCGTCTTTGCCCTTGCTCGTGCCAGGGGCGTCAGCCCGACGGTTGCCTTAGATCCAGTACCCTTTGCCGCGGTCACAGCGGGGGGTGCAGCGTCCTCCTCCTCCCCTTCCTCGATATCGCTCAAGATCATAGTCACAGGCCGCTTCCGCCGCTTAGGCACAGGGGCAGCATCGGACTCTTCCTCCTCCTGCTCATCCTCCGAGGGCTTCTTACCCACCTTCGAGTCGGCGTGAGTTCCCTTCGCCTTGATGCTTCGCCCTGTCTTAGGAGTCGGGGCATCCGATCCCTCGGCTTCGGTATCGTCGCGCTCGGTCTCGGTCTTTGCGGCTGCGGCCTTTGTACGCCCGCGCGGTCGGTGGGTGGTCTTTGCCTTGTCGTCCGTCTGGGACTCGTCGGCCTTGCTGGTCTTGCGTTTTGCTGGCTGCCGCTTTTTGGGCGCGGGCTTTGGGGGAGCGGGATCTGGTAAGCATTATAGATTTGTAAATATTGTTATCCTGCCGGTCTGTGGATCCGAGGACTTACCAGGCTCTTCTGCAACGTCCTCCTTCAATTGCTTGGCCTTACCCTTACCCTTGGCATCTGCTTTAGGTTTAGGTTTAGACGTGGTTGGCTCGTCGTCCGTATCGGCTTGAACCTTTCCACGTCCCTTCTGACTCTTGGGTGCAGACGTAGAGGTCGAAGCGGAGGATTTCGAGCCGCCGGTGGCTTTCTTCGGTTTCTTGGGCGGTTCCTGCTCGCTCTCCGATTCGATTACATGCTTGTGCGTACCCTGCTTCCTCGGTGCTGCCTTCGCCTTCCCCTTGGCGACTAATGGTACGTCTGTTGGCCTTTGGTAAGGCATATGCGGGGGTGCTACAATGGGTAGTACCGTACCTTCGTCACTACAGCCATCAAGGGAAGCTGTCGGTCGCGACGGTGCTCTCGTTGTGGTGGTTTTGCGTGATTTGGAAGTGGTAGGGTCCTCTTCACCTGAGAGGGATTGTTTGCTTTATTACATGCACAGTGCCAGAATTGAATGTACCCACCCTTTGTGGTGGCTTTGAACTTCCCTTTCGTAGAAGTGCGCTGCTTGGAGGTATTGGTTGCTGGTCTTGAGCGTCAGTATGCTGCATCCACCATAAATCATGTTAGTGAGGGCATCGACATACCACTGCTCCCTTGCTGCTCATGTGCATCCCGGCTCTCGGCGCCGGACTTCTTACGGGGACTTGTCCTCCTATTAGTTAATTCTTCAGGAGCGATCTTGGAGCTTGACGCTTGCGGCTGAACTTGGCTCGATGAAGCGACGGCGTGGTTGCTTGCGGAAGGCTTGTCGCGACGGCTCGCGCCCTGCTCTTTCTGAGACTTTTTCTTAGGGGATGCCAGAAATTTGCGACTGAGTAAAATGTCTATAAGGGGGTTCTCCGTCATGGGTACGAATATACTGTACAAGATATGTCACACGTCAGGGAGCACCTCAGGTCAGCGGAAAGCGTGATACTGACCCTCCGCGATCGCGGTACCGCGACTGCTGCTTCTGCAGCCGCTTCTCTCTGCTCTCCTCCACTGTAGGCGCCAGCATCGTCTTCGCCGTCGCGGTCGCCATTGCCAGCCGTGCTTCGTGAAAGGGAGTAGATGGAGATCAAGCTGGAGGTGATTCCGGGAGAAGACGCGCCACGGTCACGTGGGACGTCACAGTCCTTCGGAGGCATTCGTACCCACGCCACCGTTCCGACTGCCACAATGGTCGCGACCGTCAGGCAGCGGGCTGCCAATATTACTCTGGTCACTACCCAACTTCGCTTTCAGCATGAATCTGACCATTGGTACGGGATGTGCTGCCACATTATGCTTGTTGCTCTCGTATCTGCGACGGTGCAAGAACAAGCAAACAAACAGACCCATTGCTTATATCCTCGTCAACCAAGTTACACATGCACGTCTCCTGCCGGTCGAGTCTGCACATGCTTTCACGTACCCGACGGTGTCTTTGCTACTACCGCTGAAGGCCCTAGAAAAGAATGATCTGGACTTGGCTGGAGGATGGGTCTTTGGCTACGGAGGACTCTATGGCCGGTTAACAGGCCTACGACCATCTGGGTATTTAACGGATAACGAGAACGACGGCAAATTCATCTGGAGCAAGCTAGCCAGGATTTTGGAAGGACGTGGCTACGATTCTGACGCGCTCGAAGACGCGTGGATGATGACTATGCCTAGTTTCCTTGGGTACGAAGGCATCAACCCATTGACGGTGTACTACTGTTATAAACCCGAAGGCCAGCTATGGGTGGTTATACTAGAGGTCAGCACACATCTAAATCTTGAAAATGCTCCCCTTTGATTTGGTAGGTCCATAATACGTTCGGCGAACGTCACGTCTACATCCTAGAGGTAGGCAAAGGCGAAGATCCCACACCTAAGGGGTGAGTCTACGACCCTGGCCTATCTCGATGGTGCTAGTAACTTACACTCGAGGCAGCTTCGACCACCAGTGGACCTTCCCTCGTCACTTTCACGTATCCCCGTTCAACGACCGTGAAGGTTTCTACATCGTATCCCTCACGGCCCCTTCGCACCCTCCCACGAAGTCACGTCACAATCCATCATCCCCTGCCCCACGACCCATAGTTCGCATTCACTACCACCCACCAGATGAACCTTCATCCGAAGCTCCAGGCAAGCCAAGCATCGGCCCTCTCAAGCTCTCCGCTATCATCCGTCCCGTCCTCTCCCTACCCCTCACCACCCCCGCGTGGCTCTTCACACTCGCGTCCTCCCCGTTCGCCCTTCTTCTCACTTCCCCGCGCATCCTCTATCAGGCATGGATCCTACACTACAGAAAGCGCCTGGACGTCTTCCCCCGCCCAGAGCCCAAGCCCGCCACAGAGGCCTGGGACCCTGACATCGCGTTTCCGGCAGGCGATCGCGGTGGTATCGGCTGGCAGCCTGAGGGACCTTTGGAGAAGTACGAGCGTAAGCGCGTCGAAGCCTTCCTAGCGACTCGTGCGACGGAAACAGGCGTCCGAGTGACACTCATACCGGGGAAGCCATCTGAACCAGCGTCTGACTTTCCTGCTCACGAAGGAGCCGAGCGAGAACACCTGAAGGTGTACTACCTATCCCCGAGAATTTTCACAATCATCTTTCTCTGTCCGTCCGCTGCACATGCCCTTCTACTGGGGAGTGAATCTGAGAAGATATTCGTCCCCTCCTCGCCTGAGCTGTTCCTCTCAGTGTTCAATCCCTCTTCGTCCGCCCTGCACGGCGACCAGCAGCTTAGTGCCGGTCAGCAATTGCGCTTACGACCCATACCACATGCAGTGCGCTCCTCTTCAGACTTGCAAATCCCTGCCGCTCATGCTCTCGAACTTCACTCACGAGGTTTGTCGCGCTTACCCAGGACAGCGCTGGCGATATCGGATCTGATTGTATTATGGATTCTACTGGCTCTCGAGCGGTTCGAGCAGTTTACTTTCACTGCCCTGCGCGCGCGCTTCGTTCCCGGACAGGAGCCCTGGAATGCATGGGAACGAGCCAGCGTAATTTTGGAATGTAAGAAACATCCGCAATGATGTACCTAAATAGCAGAGCGTTCCAGTGTATTTGTACTGCGTACAACAGGAGGTTAATAATGGGGGGATGTGTGACTGAATGCCAGCTTGGCCTGTTTATGTGCGGCGCTTGGCTCTCGGTCTTGGGAACTCGAGCGGTATTTTGAGAACCGCCCGTTTCGTCGCTGCAGCACTATCTGGAAGACCAAGTCGTTTCAGCTCCGTCATGCTGAGTTTCTCAATCTTGCAACCCAAGGACTTGAAAAGTGCGTTGACCCTGCGGACAGAACGGTCTTAAGCCACACAACCAAGTGAAAAGGCATCTCGACTTACTTTGCAACTTGCATACTCAGGTCGGACGCTACCAGGGTGGTGTCGGTCGCGTAGTCGTCCACTCGCAGGCACAGCGCGAACATGTGCGTCAGTAAGCTGGTTTCCGTCTGAGGCGTAGATCGCAATCTATTCGAGAGGATATAGAGTCAGTTGAAGATCACTCGTATGGTGGCGGTGCTTACTGATCAGAGTCCCTAGCGGTTTCGGAGAACCTTGACAGCAGACCATCGAGTATGACACTCGGGATCCTAGATAGACGCTCTTGCAGAGCTTGCTTGTCTGACATTTTCTTCGGCGCGATATTCCGGAATGCCAACATCGACGAGATGTAGAAAAGGATTTTTCTGTAGATAGTATGAATATCGTGCGTAAAACAGCAGCGGAAGTCGCGTACAATGTACTCCTATTGACCTTGGGAGCAGAAAACGCGAGTTGCAGGTGTTGATTAACCCATGTAGACCTCGTATAAGGCAGGAGCGCTACACGATCACGCTGAGTCTGAGCAGCCATGAAGGCGGAAATAGGCAAAGCATTCCATTCCAGTTCGGGTATGATGTCGTGCAGGCCGTAGACGTCCTCGGGAGTGGCAGCGTCCCCGTTGTATCGGGGAATGAGTCGACTGCTGTCGGCAGTTGCTTTGGCTTCCTCTAGCGTGTCAATAGGCATTAGCGATCATACTCGTTTGAGTGAGTACGACATACCTTTGGTAGGAAGGGTTGTGGTACTACTCTCGATGCGGTCCTGGAGGTGGCCGGCCACATTTTGCATAGCAGACACGTCGACTTTATTCCGCTCATGGGCACGAATTGCAGCCTTCGCTTTCTTCGTCCCAAATATTTCACCGAGAGCATTACGCGCCTCAATACGCTGGGCAGCAGTCACTGGTGCGGGCTGGAGTCCCTTCAGAGCTTTGACTTGACGAGAGAACACATGCAGGGGAGCAGGTCGGATAACCGTTTTATTCGTTCGCTTGTCGTGTATTCCAATTAGATACCTGTCCGATATTTCAGAGAGGGTGACCTGGACCAAGGTCGACGGGTACTCACCTGCATCCCGCCCCAGCCTCAATGCCTTCTATGGTTGAGAACTCAACAGTATCGGTCTCGCCAGCTATTGTAACGGATTGGGGTCCGGCTTCACTGTCGCCCTCGTCACTGCGATGTCTTTTCGGAGCATAACATCTAAACGGAGTCTTTGGTGGCGGTTCCACAGCCGGAAAACTTGCTGAGATGACTTAGGCGCGTAGCGTAACGGTTGACCAAGGCCACATACCTAGGACAGGCCCATTCCCCGAGCCCTTTTGCTCTGCTACGCGAAAAGATACCTTCGGGCCTTCCTCGTCGCGTTTGCGCTTCTTGGAAATCGACGTCGAGGCCATCGCGAGCGGTTGTGGCGGAGGTAAGAGTGAAACCAGAAAAGGCAGTATTTCGACAGCGCCGGCGGCTTTACCACTCACCTTGTGCGATGGTCTACTAACCGTGCACGGATATCCAGGTACTTATCATTATTACACCAAAGGATTTGTGAACATAGAACCTGTCTACCCCGGATTGCTCTGCGCGAATATTTTCAAGCTGCTTTCTCTAGCCACCCCAGCCACAGGATTGCCCCCGACGTCGCACAGGCTTACACTTACCAAAAGCCATGTCCAGGTCACGGCAGCCTTCTGTCAAGAAGCGGAGCAGGAGTCCGTCTCTAATGACGGCAACGACGAAAGTCGAGGATGTTGATGTCAAGATGGAGGGTCCGTCGAGCACACCCACCCCTGGGCCGAGCATGTCCGACCTCGCCACGAAGCGAGAGGAGACATCCTTGACGCCCAAGCTCGAGGACGATTCACGCCCGTCGGCCACACCCCCTGTGTCAATGTCCTCGGACGTCAAGCCACGGCCCAAGGGCCCTCAGCTCATCGGCCATTTGCCTCGGGCAGAACAGGAGGCTCGATCCACGTTTGAGGAGATCCCTCAGAACCACTATCAGTACAATACGTTGGGGCGGTCGCGGGAGGCTCTGGAGAGCATGACGTGTGACTGTCAGTACGAGCATGGTGAGTTCGGGTAGATGTAGTTTCCGGCTCTGGGATTTACGGTAGGAGTAGGTGTGGACGATGCTTGCGACGCCTGCGGAGATGGCTCGGATTGTATCAACAGACTGACTCAGGTTGAATGTCTACCTGACGACTGTCGGTGTCGCGCTTACTGCCAAAACCAACGGTAAGCCATATACAGTAGTTGTGTAGATACCAGTTTCATTCCTCCCGCAGGTTTCAGCGCAAGGAGTACGCACCTATCGAAATCGTCCAGACTGAAAAGAAGGGTTTCGGTCTTCGGGCGGCAGACGATATACCTCGGTAGAAACGTCGATTCTCTGCCTTGAATAATTACTCAGCTTTCTTCTAGGGACGCCTTCATCTACGAGTATGTTGGCGACGTCGTTAGCCATCCATCTTTCATGAAGCGCATGCGGGAGTACGCCCAGCAGGGTATTCGACATTTCTACTTCATGATGCTGCAAAAGGACGAGGTGCGGATCATATCTCATCTATGTGTATCCGTGCTAAGTGGATTGTACGTAGTATATCGACGCTACGAAAAGAGGTGGCATCGGGCGCTTTGCAAATCACTCCTGCAACCCGAACTGCTACGTTGCCAAATGGACAGTTGGGGCTCGGGTCCGTATGGGCATTTTCGCCAAGCGGGCGATAAAGAAGGACGAGGAAATCACCTTCAACTACAATGTCGACCGTTACGGGTATGTTCTAATGGATACACTCCCTCCAACTCAATAATAAACGAGGTACCCACAACCAGGCATGAAGCACAGCCATGCTACTGTGGTGAAGCCAACTGTGTAGGCTTCCTAGGTGGCAAGACACAGACGGACATTGCTGCCATGGATGACTTGTATCTCGATGGTAACATCTTTATTACGCTCCTTCCGCGACCTCTCTCAACGCATTACCAGCACTGGGCATCACCGACGAGGTTGAGAAACTTGGCCTCAAGGGTAGTAAGAAAAGGAAGGGCAAGAAGCTCGACGAGGACTATCTGGTGGGTTAACAAGCCCTACGCTGATTTTGCATGCGACTGATCCTTTCCCTTCCGTGACACAAGCCCGTTCTCAAGCCTCTTGTGGAGAAGGACGTGCCTAAGGTTATACAGGCCATGCGGCAGACTCAAAGTCGGAAGGTCCTCTTCAAGCTACTTCATCGAGTCAAGGTGAGAATCCTGGAGTTCGTGCTTCTTGGATGTTTCAGACGCTCATGTTGGGATGGCGTAGATTACCGAGGACCAATCCGCTCTCCGACAACTTATGCGCCTTCGTGGTTTCAGTCTCATGACCAATATCTTGACTGATTATGCGGACGATGAAGACATTACTAAGGTTGCCCTGGAGTGCATGACAACATGGCCTCTGATCCAACGCAACAAAGTGGAGGACTCCAAGGTTGACGAGCCTGTGAGGCAATGTGCGGAGACGTCGCAAAATGAGGACATCAAGGAGTTGGCCCAGAAGGTAGCGTGTTTAGGTTGTGTCTAGAGTCTGGCACTCATCTTTGGGATAGCTCTTGGCACACTGGGATACTCTGGAGGTTGGCTACCGTATACCAAAGCGCCTGAAAGTGGTGAGACGAACACCAAGCTTCAGTCTGGACCTCTCTGACGCTGTCTAGGATGGCGATGAGGAAGACAAGAGCTCTCCTACCATCGTCTACGAGGCTGAGGAAGAATCGCGGCCATCGAAGAGGTCCCGACTGGAAGACCTGATCCCTGAAATCAAGTTGGACATTAAGCCTCTCGGACGAAAAGCGGCATCCATGTCAACACAACCCCTCATCGGGCTTCGAGTAGAACCTCCACCGACGCCATCCACGGAATTCAAACCTTCGATCTCGCGGAAGGAGCAGCTCGATGCTGTTATTGCAGAGGCCACTGCTGCTTATAAACGAGCGGAAGAGGAGGCTGCCAAGGCTGCCGCCGCACAGGCCGCTGCTGCTGAAGAGAAAGAGAGGAGAAAATCATTATCTCGGTCTCACTCTCATAAGAAGCAGAGCAAAGAGGATAAAGAGGCGCTAAAGGAGAAACGTCTGCAGAAACTCGTCGGCGCGATTGTCGTGAAGTGCATGTCTAAGTACTCGAAACAGATGGACTATGACATGTTCAAGAAACATGCCAAAGGGGTACGTGGCGGGTAGTCTTCCTTGGGGCTATACTCGTCGACTGACGCCATTTGCTTCCAAGCTTACAACGCTGATCTCGGACAAGGAAAAGAAGTCTAATAGCTACAAGGAGGGCAAGCTGGACTCTTTATCCGAGGAGAAGACTGTCAAGATCAAGAAATTTGCCAAGGAGTACATCCATAAGCTCATGCGGAAGTTGGAGAAATCTGGACAGCATCGGCGCCCTCCCCATTCCTCCTCATCGGCTAACGGAGCGTCTACATCCGCATCTGCAATGAACGGCGACGCTGGTCACCGCGCCGATGAGGACGGGCCGATGGCAATGACGGTAGAGGAAGCCATGGACATGGACATGGATGAAGACGACGACGACGCGCCTGAACAACATGACGGTTCGACTGCCTCGCCTTCAACGGCGCAAGCAGATAGAGACCGCTTCGAGGACTCGCCCGACACGGAGCCGCCGCCGTCCACACCTGCCGACAAGGCTACGGACCCACGTCGCTCACGGTGGGACATTGGACCCGACAAGGAACAATTCGACATCTTCAGGGGTTCTGATACATTGTCTGTGCAATCGTAATTGGGTTTACTGTTTTCGTTATTGCTATCGTATTTGATCGCGTTATTCGTTCGTGCAGCTATATATTATAAGATGTGTGTATACCAGGGAATGCACGCGCGGTGTGAAGTCAACGGCCGAGTATCCTCGACGGACTAGGGACTCCTCCCAGTCTTACGGTCGGGCGGTTCCCATGCAGGCCCCGTCATCCGCCACCTACGTAAGTTACGACCTGCTCACGTCCGCTGCTGTCGCCGGTATCATCGCATGCGGTACTATCGAAAAAGGCACTTCAGTACTAGTGAAGGAAGCCCGCGGAGGGACGGGGAGGGAGGGGAGTTAAGATGCGGATCCAGCAAAATAAACCAGTCGAGGTCGAGCACTGCGTTTATCGCAGGTTCTTCCTTGCGTTGACACTGATATCGCATGTATCGTATAGCTCAAGCAAATCAGGTCATCGCATTGTGGTCTGCAGCAATGGTGTACAATTACATGTCAGGTAGACCTGCGAGGAATACCGGGGAGGTTCACTCCAGCATTAACATTGAGTACTGCACTAAGTATAGCCGGTTCTGCTGTCGTGGGTCTAGAGACACGGAAACTGAAATTAGTCTTTCTTCAATGTGCGTGTCCTGCATGATTGCATCTCTGACAGTGAAAGCGAGTGAACAGACGAAGTTGCAAAGGTGCAGCCGGACTTAGCGCTGGAAAGTCGAAGGTCGGCATTGCGTCGGCCGCGGGATTCGGGATCGGGCGTCGGGCGGGCTGCGGCAAAGGCCGCCCTCCTTCCCGAAGTGGCACAAATAGCCACTCCGCCTCTGTACGGAAGCATTGTTGTCTTTGTTCCAATACACAATGCCACCGTGTACACACTGTCCCCTGACTACGCCGGCGCCGCAAGCAAAACAATGGCCACAGTGGCATCTTACGTTGGCGCGTTGGCCCTCATAAATGTGGAGTTTGCACGTTCCGCGGTATTCATCCACCTCCACTCTTCACTACTGCTACTATCGCGGGCGAGTTTGCCTCAGCCTCCAAGGCTTCCTTTCTCTTAAGCCTTTCACGAAAGCCCGTTCAGCTGGTGCTGGGACACTTGCTGGGTTAACGATCCTTCATTTCTTTGAGCACTTGAGTTCTGCGTTGCTGTACTCTGTCTCTTGCTTTGCTTTGCTTGTATCGTCTACTCCACCTTGAGATACGAACGATATGTTGCCGCCACGAGCATGTGAGTGCCACCTACTCGCCTGGCCTGGCCGCATTCTAATATCCTTGCTGCCTCTAGATATATTCATTGGCCTGAATATTGTCAGAGCCCTGAGCATCATTGCTCTGCTGCTAGTTTTCTCGAGCAGTATCTTCACCTTGGTCAACGACGTCGAAGCCGCGAACGCGTTCATGGCTGCCAAGAAGGCGGGGAATGCCACCGAGACGTCAGACATGGTCGATTGCGATTACGTCGAGTAGGTCGACCAATCCCTCGTAGCTCGAGTGATCTCTGACAACCTTTCTCAGAGGGAGCACAGTCCCCAACCAGCCCGCAGGCGAATTCTGGGCGGTCCTCAACCGCCTGCTCATCATATTCCAAGTCATCATCCTGATCCTTTCGGAAATCGGCTGGCCCATGAAGGCCTTTGACAAGTGGTTCCCGGTCCTGGGCAGCAACTTCGGCGTCGGAGCCCTGGGCGTCATTCAATGCCTGTATGTGTTATGCCACTTCTCCTTGCCTGTATCTTTCATCCTCATCCTAATGTTCTGCCTTAGTATTGGCGCCGCCGTTCTCTCCCACCACGTGGACGACTTCTCGCTCGTCTCGGCGTTCTTCCTGTTCGCCCTTGGGTGCCTGAACATAGCCATCGGGCTCATCTTCCGTGCTTCCGTCAAGACAAGACGGTCCATTACGTCCTGGAAGGAACGCGCCAAGGATGTCCTGCCGCCGCCTGTTGCTGGTCTGATGAGCCCGCCGGCGGCTTCTTTCATGTCCAGTGTCTTCAGTACCGAGAAGCAACCTGAGCGGCCTATGAGCCCGGAGGAGGTCTTGGCTACGAGGCCTGGGTTTGGGTTCGGCAGACAGGGAGAAAAGAAGGCTGCCTTGAAGGGTAGGTGGAGCGATCCTCAGTCTCGTCGACTCACGAAACTGAATGCTCTTTGGTCGAGCAGGTTTCCTGCTGCAAAGACCGGTGGAATCGCTGCCGAGATATGCACCGAAGCCCACGTCCGAGTCCGGGCATGCTGACGAGAAGGATTAGGGCGATCAGGCTGTTCGGCCTCCTCCTTGGACGATGGACTTCGGACCTGGGTTTCGGCTTCATGGCCAGACGGCCCAATACATATTGTACACCCACGTGTCTCTCGAGGACGTGATACTATTGGCTCGACCTTCACTATAGGCAGCATCTCGTTAATATCCGATGTATCAAGTAGAAGCACTGCTCTGTATTATTCCGGCTATAGCATTACATTCGCGGTTTGGAATTGTCTCCGGCATGGTGTAAATTATGGAATGGGGGCTGAGGTGAGCGACGAAATGACTCGATGCATGGCGACTATCGACGCAATTGCTTGCCACCTACTGGGTGCCGGGCGTGTGGCAGTGGCCGCAGCTACCCACCTCTCGCTCTCACTGACAAAGACGACGAGGGAGATGTGAGTCAGGTCTCCAGACGTTTCTGAGGACCCACCCACTCATAACCGACTTTATCAGATATGTCCGCGCGTGGTGCGGTAACGTTAACGCCGCACGCACCTCTCGAGCGGATACAGACAGAGCTCGAGCTCGATGGATTCGTGCGCGCAGGCTGGCCTGAGGCCAAGCTAGAACAGTCTTGGGATCTAAGACAGGACTCTTGCGCTGAATTTGTAACGACCGAGCTCGAGCTCGATGCGAAAGCCCAGGCCGAGCGGAGCAGCGAATGAGCAGTGTGGGAAACTGTCCGTCCGTCCCCAATCAGAGATAATCTAAGGTCTATATAAACCCCATCCCCGACGCGTCGTCGCTCCCGTCGCTTCCCTCACATCCCCTACAATCTACGACAACTACCAAAACTTCAGCAACGATGGTGAGTAGCGAGATACGGATACTTGAGAGGGCACTGACGACGAGGTGCTGGGCAGGTCAAAGCTGGAATCAACGGGTATGTAGAGGGCTGGAGATGGCGTCGGGATAAAGATACTCACCTACTTGCGATGCTCTTTTCGTGTATAGTTTCGGTGAGTAGCTACTGTGTAGAAGCGGGGCATATGTTGTTGACAAGAATGCGCTGATCGATAGGTCGTATCGGCCGTATCGTGCTCCGTAACGCCCTCGAGGTCGACGGCGTTGATGTCGTTGCTGTGAACGAGTATGTGCACTCACGGTCTATTTGCAACGCATATACTGAGTTGTCTTCAGCCCTTTCATTGACCTTGACTACATGGCGAGTATATGCGCTCCCCAGAAGACGGGGCAAAGGCGCTGAACTTGTTATCACAGGTTTACATGTTCAAGTACGATACTGTCCACGGACGGTTCAAGGGCACCGTCGAGGCCAAGGATGGCAAGCTTGTCGTTAACGGCAAGCCCATTGCCGTCTTCGCCGAGAAGGATCCCGCCAACATCAACTGGGGTGGTGTCGGTGCCGACTATGTCATCGAGTCCACTGGTGTCTTCACCACGACTGAGAAGTGAGTTCAGACCTGAGACAGTCCAATGTGCATATAATGACATTCTATCGCCAGGGCTTCCGTCCACTTGAAGGGTGGTGCCAAGAAGGTCGTCATCACCGCGCCCTCTGCTGATGCGCCTATGTTCGTCGTGGGTGTCAACTTAGACAAGTACGACCCCAAGTACACTGTCGTAAGTATCTTCGTGCGCCTGCCTCGATGACGCGAGCTCACTTCCGTCTGCGAAGGTCTCCAATGCCTCCTGCACGACCAACTGCCTTGCGCCCCTTGCCAAGGTTATTAACGACAACTTCGGTATCGTTGAGGGTCTGATGACCACTGTCCACGCCACCACCGCCACCCAGAAGACCGTCGATGGTCCGTCCCACAAGGACTGGCGTGGTGGTCGTTCCAACACCAACAACATCATCCCCTCTTCGACCGGTGCCGCTAAGGCTGTCGGCAAGGTCATTCCCGAGTTGAACGGCAAGCTTACGTGCGTTTACGTTGTTTCAAGCATTTCCCATATTCTTGCTTATCGCCCAATACAGCGGTCTCGCCTTCCGTGTCCCCACCCTCGACGTTTCCGTCGTTGACCTTGTCGTCCGTCTCGAGAAGCCTGCTTCCTATGACGAGATCAAGGACGCCGTCAAGAAGGCCGCTGCTGGTCCCCTGAAGGGCATCCTCGACTACACCGAGGACAGCGTCGTGTCCACCGACTTCATTGGCTACAACGCCTCCTCGATCTTCGACGCCTCCGCGGGTATTCCCCTCAACAAGAATTTCGTCAAGCTGATCGCTTGGTACGATAACGAGTGGGGCTACTCCCGCCGCGTCGTCGACCTTGTGAAGTACATCGCCGCCAAGGACGCCGGCCAGTAAATACAGACATTTCCTTACCTCGGTGGCGGGCGCGAGTGAGAAGAGAATAATAGTGTAAAAGAAAGCAATCCTGTATTCTTACTAGTACAATGTGAGAAAGGAAAGTGTAATAACAGCATAGAATTGGATCGTCAAATGTTCGTGAAAGTATGCGAAGTACACGCTGAGGATACAGGTGATACAAGGCTCGTGGTCGGGAAGGGGAATGGTGATGTATCATGGTGCTCGTATGCTCGATGGATATATTCACGGGAACCACAAGGGCAGCTTGATCCCGGCAGACTCGGTGGTGAGGGAAGTTATCTTGCGGAAGATCGAGAATCTCCTCTTCCAGCCGTTTGATTGACGAGATCTGGGTCTGATATTTATGAGCTCATGCATGAGCGCTGAGCACCGAGGCGGTGCCAAGCGAATTCACCTTTCGTTGAAGACATCAAAGTGGGGCTAAGATCTGAAGTCAATCATTGCACCGCTTCTTCCGGAATGATAGACTCACGTTAGATTCCAAGAGCGGGGACGTGCCGCTTGCATTGTCGTCAATCTCAACATAGTCGTGGACAACTCTGTGGGAAGGTATTTATGAGTGACCTGTAGGAGAGCGATAGTGTTGTCGTCGGACTTGCCTTCGGCGTGCGCCCTCGGGCGGGTAGGAATACGTTGACCTGGGATTCCTCATGCTGGCAAAAGCGGAATAAAAGGATAAAGAGGGTTGCAGGTTACTGCTGGGTAAGGAACGTCGTGGACGATGTCAGCCAGCCCAGCAGGACCGAAGAAGGTGAATCAAAGGTGAAGAATTTCTGCCCCCGGTGGGATGTGGACGTGTATATACCACCGAGCCGGGGCGATGCATGATGGTAGCGTGGTGTGCGGCGAGCGCTTCCTTCCGCTCGTGCATGATGTATCCGGAGAAGCTCCACTGCGATTTACGGGGGGGTTGGGTTTCAAGAGAGAACCGAGGGCAGGCCATGCGATCAGCCCATCATTGCTCTGCGATCACATGCAGCCGCACCGTCCGCAGAGTGACGCGCTGATGGCTGTCTGTGTGGTTACCTTCGCCTTCGACTAAGCTTCAGCGCAGGCCAGAAGATTGTCTTAGAGCCGGAGGTATCGCCCGTGAGTGGGGAAGTGCCGGTTTAGCGTCCCATATGGGAGTCCTGCCTCATGCATAGTGTACCGCTGCAGGGTTCTCTTGGGATTTTGAACGCTTGGCCCAGGACAAATGGGTAAAGAATCCAGTAATAAAGTTCTGCTAACACGCTGCGTGCAAGATATCATGCCATTCTGGCGCTTTGCCGGGAGAGTCAACCGCCATTTGCATCGGATAGCAAGGAGACATGGACTTCAGAGCGCAAGCTGCTGCCGGTGACTTCGGAGGCGTGACGCAAGTGACGAGAGTAACGTCTCATTATGACACGTGGACTCATTAGACCACGTGATCGACGACGTGTAACTTTCCAGAGAACTGTGGGCTGCTCTCTCTGTCTCGGGACCTCTAGATGCTGTAAGACTTGGGTGCGGTAACAAAATGATCTGTCTACATCGAATTCTGCTCTCCGCTGTGGTCATCTTCGCCTTTGTTTCCAGTAAAGCACTCGCATCGGTACTTGCGATCGACTATGGAACGGAATGGATTAAGGCCTCGCTAATGAAGCCCGGCTTACCGTTTGATGTCCTACTGAACAAGGACTCGAAGCGCAAGATTCAGGCCTCCGTGGGGTGGAAAAGGGACGACCGGTTGTTTGGCTCTGACGCATTCAACCTTGTACGTTCCTCTGTATCCTCGCTTGTTGCTTAGGCTCAATTCCTATACCGTAAGGCGGCACGGTTCCCATCCGACTCTTTCTCTTCCTTGAAATATCTTCAGGGCGTACCATTCGACTCGAACTCTGTTGCCTACTACACGAGCATATCCACGGCAGACGTGGTCAAAACAACCAGAGGAACCGCTGGCGTCCGGCGGCCAGATGGCACGGAATGGAGCGCGGAAGAGCTGATTGCGATGCAATTTGCCTACGTCAAGGAGCTCGCAGAGGCTGCTGCGGGAGAGAAAGTGCAGGACGTGGTCGTAACCGTCCCTCCCTTCTACACCCAGTTCGAGAAGGACGCCGTGGTGGACGCGATTGAAATTGCTGGGCTTCGGACTATTGCTCTCATCAACGATGGCACGGCCACGGCTGTCAACTACGCGATGACTCGTACGTTCCCCACACCGGAACACCACATCATATATGATGCTGGCGCATCCTCCATCCGTGCTACTGTCGTCTCGTTTGGTACCGCAGCTAGTGATTCAAAGTTGTCAACAACGAAAGACGCCACGCAGATCACGGTGCTCGGTGTCGGCTACGACAGGTTGACTGGTGGAACTGAACTGGACCGCCGGTTACGGGACATGATGGTCGCTGACTTCCAGAGGAAGCACCAGAGAGACATCACCGGGGATAAGCGGGGCATGGCTAAGCTATGGAAAGAGGCTCAGCGCGTCAAGACCGTCCTGAGCGCGAATGCGGAAGCGATGGCGACGGTAAGGTACCAGTACTACTTCCAGGATTGCAGCAATCTCTGATTACGCTCCTGCAGATCGAAAGTGTCGCGTTTGATATTGACTACCGCTCGAAGTTCACGAGAGCTGCCTTCGAGGAAGCCTGCTCGGACCTTTTCAGTCACTTTGCGGCGCCTATTTTCGAGGCATTGCAGCGTAGTGGGCTAGATTTGGTATGTCGACTGTCTGACTACTCTGCAAATGTCCCTCACATCGTTTGTTCAGAGTAATATCACGTCCATCATCATGACCGGTGGAAGCTCAAGAGTACCCATGTTACAGAACGCTGTGAAGGCGGCTGTAGGCGAGTGAGTACCCATCCGCTGTGTCCACATTGCGCATGCACTTACCTACTTCATAGGAGTATGCTGGCATGGAACGTCAATGCGGACGAGGCGACGGTCCTTGGTGCTGCTCTTCATGGAGCAAGTCTGAGCAGACAATTCAAGACCAAGGACATCAGGGTCTCGGATATCAGTCCTTATGACGTTCAAATTTCGTACACGGCGGAAGCCAAGTCTGCCATCGCAAAGCCCCGCACTATCCACACCTTGGTCTTCCCGGGCGGCTCGAAACTCGGCACCAGGAAGACGCTTACTTTCAAGCGAAAGGAGGACCTCACGTTGAGGCTGGAGTATAAACGGGTTCCCGCTACGTACGAGATTTTACTACCTAGGTCGGAAGGCTGTACTGAAATGTGTATTTGCTAGTGGTTTCCCGACGGAGCTGCTCGATGTGGATATTACCGGCATCTCAGAGGCCATTCACAACTTGACTGAGATGGGCGCGATAGACCCTGTTGTGAAAGTAACTGCTGCCCTGTCGGAGTCGGGTTTCGTGTCTATCCCGGAGGCGGTCGCGTACGGAGAGGTCAAGGATGATTCGATCACTGGTATGTCACTGGCTGCAATGCTACATGTTCTATTCGCCTAACTCCATCTTAGGCAAATTGAAAGGGTTGTTTGGTGGTGGGGCCTCATCCGAGCAAGTACCTCTGAACGCCGATGGGACAGCGAGCACTGGTGATGCAGAGCCAGCAGGGACTTCGTCCGAGTCGTCTGAGCCTGCCTCTCAGTCAGAGAAGCCTAAACGGACAGGACCACAGACAATAGAGTTAAAGGTCAAGCCGAGGTTCCCGTCCCTTGCGCCGATGTCTGCTGCCGAGAAGCGGAAGGCTCGTGATAGGTGTGTACCTTCCTATATTCAATGAAGGCGTTGCTGAGACAGGCTTGTAAAGGCTGGCGGAAGTAGATTACGACGAAAAGGCGAAGCAGCGCAAGGAGGAAGCTCGCAACATGCTCGAGAGTTACTTGTACCGCCTCCGCGACCTCCTTGAAGACAGGGACAACGAGAACTCGCCGTTCGTCAAGTGCTCGCAGGAGTCGGAAAGGAGGGCGTTGGAGCAGAAGCTCCGGGATGCGTTCGCATGGTTGCAGGAAAAGGCTGATGAGGCTGAGACAAGTCAACTCATTGGCAAGCGGAACGAATTAGAGTGAGTCTGGAGATACACTGGCCGTGCTGAAGCCTGCGCTGACACCCTGGATGACAGGGCCCTGGAACGGCCTATAGTGCACCGTTATAAGGAGATCGAAGAGTTCCCCCGCGCGCTCAATAACAGCCAAATGTGGAACTGGAGCACACGGCTCTTCCTCACCGACGCGAAGCAGAACCTGACTGCAGAAGAGAAGGGCGGTCCCCCATCAAAGTACACCAGGGAAGAGCTCGAGGAGCTCGAGAACGCGCTGAAGGAACACGAGAAGTGGCTGAACGAGAAGGTGGAGAAGCAGAAGACGGTGAAGATGAACGAGGACCCGGCGGTGGAGTCGTCTGAGTTGAGAGCAAGGGCGAAGAAGCTGGAAGACCATCTGCAGAGGCTTGTGAGGAGGAAGGTTCCGCTGAAGAAGAAGACGACGAGTTCGAGCTCGGCTTCAGGTACAGAGGGGACCACTTCGGCTTCGACTGCGTCCAGCGCGTCCGAGACGCCTCCACGCCCTTCGGATTCTGGACATGATGAACTATAGACATACAATGTATAATGGCATAATATATTGCTTGCTGCTCTCGTGCTGGTTCGGAAAGGGGAATGGCGTGCGCTGAACGACTTCACTCGTCAAAGGGCGCGTACTACCAGTAAATAAGCAGGACATGACTTCGATGTCCTCATTCGTAGTGGGATTCACCAAGGCCAGCCTACGGAGACCGCAAAGCACAGAGGAAGGCTGGAAATTGAAACGCGTACCGTCCTGATTTTCCGCTCTCTCACATCATATCCTGGTGCACTGAGCCCATAGCCGCGGTGTCCTCCTTGTTCCATCCCTATTGAAGTCGCCCTGTCATCCCTTCTATATATACTGGCAGAGCTGAAGGTTGCGGAAGGTTGGAGGCTGTAAGCAAGGTGTTGTTTATCGCTGCTTGGACTGACGCAGTACTGCCTCGAAATATCGAAAGGCTACCTCAGGCCGACGGCGACGACCTGTACGATTCCCCTGCTGAGCAGTGCTCCGCTCTTCAAAGCAATTCCTGCCGCCTATTCCGTTGGCTGTCATTATACCCGTCGGAGTTCTGTTCAGATACCTTGTCCGCCAAAGTCGTGGCGACCCCCCTGAAAGAATCCCCTTGGAACAAGCTTGAAGTATAATGTCTCGCCGGAGTTACGCTGGGAGTCTTGCTGAAGGATACGGACATGAAAGACGCATATCAAAGCATCGGGTGACAGATGAGGATCTACTGGAGTGCGTGTTCCGATATGCTTGTGTGCTCCAATCGTTAACATGGCGGAGCTGCAGTTATACTCTTCGTGTAGCGTGAGTGACATCCAATTGGGACGCGTATAGGTTCTTTGATCTCTGGTGTTCAGTCTCCTAGCCTACTTAATTCAGCCGAAGGCGGTAGAAGCGTCAAGTAATGCAGATACACGAGAGGCGAAGGATAGGGACTATTCGTCTCGGTTGTCTGGCGCGCTATCGAGTTCCATCTTCTCGATCGGCGACTTGTTCAAGGATATGCGAGATGGCCCTAAGAGTGTGAAGTTTCCCGAGAGGCTGCTGAAGGTGTTGGAGCAGCGGCTGCAGGACATTGCAATGGGAAAGGATGCGGCGTACGTTCTCGTTCTGTCACAAGCTTCTGCGCCTTGGGTAAAAAGCTGAGACAGCAGTGAAGTTATTCAGACCAGTTGGTTCGGCGGACTATGGCCGTCTTCTACGGTCAGTTCAAGGTCGATACGTTCCGCAGGCAGATGAAGGAGAATCGCAAGATCGAAGAGCTTATCCTCATGTTTGCAACTAACGCGACTAACATTCTCAAGAAGGAGCCTACTCTCGCGAATGATGGCTGGAAACTGGAGCTGAATAACCAGATTGCGCTTTTCGTTCGGCTGTTGCGCGAATGCCTGCGGAATATCAGCCATGTCTCCCCCGAGCTAATATCACGCCTGGATATGTACACGGCGAAGCTCGCACCCTCTCAAACTTCCAGCGATTCTGGTTATGACTCTGCTTCCGCGACCTCAAGAGACCGGGATTCTCTTCAATCTCCTACAGTCAGCGGTCACGTGGGCGATATGGCTCTGGTGCGGACTGTTGCAGCCTTATTCAAGATTCCAGAGTCGGCCCTACAGCAGGAAATCGACAAGCTGCGACAGTTCTGCACAGAGAAGGTACGCCTGTTCTGATCACTCTCAGCGTGTCTAATTTCACCTATTTCCAGGCAGCCCTGACGGATCTGAAGGTATGTGCAGCGATCTGACTGAACCTAGGGCTTTGTAATAAAAGGACTTCAGACCTGTCTCAAGAATATCAATGCCGGGGCACCATTCCCCGGTCGTCGAGAAGACTTCGACAGCGAAGCCGCATGGCAATATTGGCGTCACCTCGAAACTTCCCACCTCTCACAATTGATGGTAGTAATGGTCCAATTCAACCCAGAACTAGCTAAGTCGACGCCTGCCGATGCCCTTCCGTCTACTGCAGGCGCAAGGCCCGGGTCTATCTATTCTGTGCGTGCTGTGGAGCCGTCCGGGGTCAGCTCACGACATGGATCGATCAGCAGTCGACGTTCCGTCATTGGCCGATCCGACGGTATTTTCGAGGAGCTCGAAGGGGATGATGAAGTCCAGGTTGGACACAATTTCACTTACATCCCCCCGAACCCGAAGAAATACTACAAGCGTTTATTGGAATATTGTATCGGAGCTGACCTGGAGGCAATGCTCAGCGACGATGTGAAAGACGACGATGAAGTGTCCCTCGGAATCCTTACAGCCCCCCACATTGAACTGCTTAATGAGTGCGCTTTGCGGTGGCGCATTGGACAACCGTATCGCGCTGCCTGTTTCTTGGATGTTGTGCGGTCACTGTATGAACGTAATGACGTGCCTCTCGAGTGTATACCAGAGGCATTACAGACGATAAGCAAAGTCATGCAGGAAATCGACCTCGATAAATGGCCAACAGCAGACGTACGTAACCCTCCCCCTCTGTGTTGCCCTGGTATTGATGCTGGTCCAGGTCGATTACCTTGCTTCAGTCTACAGCAGTCTCTTTGGCGTCTTCATATCCAACCTATATCACGCTATGGATGCAATACCGAATCTGAAGCCCTCTGATATATCCTCGTATCTGTCGATATTGGAGCACGTGCATGGAAGCGGCCTTCTCGAACGGTTTGAGAATGACGTGTCGGCGCGCTTTGCGGATGTCCAGGAGCGTGTGCGGCAGGTCTCTGCGTACTCGTATGATGAGAAGATGAAGGAGCTTGAGGCTCAGCCTGGTGTTAATCGTGCGCTCCCGCTTTTACTCATGACAGATGAGATAGAGAAGACGGCCAAGACTCTGGATAAACGATTCCCAGAACCAATTCTCGGGTAAGGTGTCCGTCTCTGTTGGTTATCCTCAGGCCTGAACTTCCTTGTAGACAAGTGGACATCGTATCCTTGGTAGTGGAAGTCCAAATTCCTCTCTTCCTGGAAGATTTGGAAAAATCCCGGAAACGTTTATTTGAGGATTCCATGAACGGGCCAACGCCCGACGTTCCAATTGAGGATATCTTTGCCCTTTATCGGCGCACGAAAACACTGCTCGGCATGTACAAGGCATTCTGTCCTAAGTGTGTTCAGTCTCTACGGCTAGCCGTACATTTCCTGAGATGGCCCTCTAGCGCGCAGACTGAGTTCGATCTAGGCGGCTTCTTCGAACCGTACGTCCGACAATGGTTGGTGAATACGGACAGTAAGACAGCACAATGGGTGCAGAACGTGAGTCCTTTCTGCTTTCGATTGTCGTTCAACCGATATTGAAGAACGTATAGGCAATTGCAGCGGACAAGGTTTGTTGAAATGGCCCACGTCCTCGCGGCATTCCGATACTAACATCTCATAAGTTCCAAGCAGAGGATGCATCAGGTCACAGTTCATCCATCGTCGATCTCTTCGACTCCCTACGCAGTCCTATACAATTCCTCCAAGACCTGGAATGGTCAGATGAATATCAGGAAGCACGGTTTGCTACTAGTCTGGCCAAGGTGAGTGACGGTATGTGGTTATCTAGTCGAATGCGAAACATTGATCCTCTCTTGCAGACTATCAGCAAAGCTGTAGAGCAGTACTGCCGAAGCGTGGAGGAATTGTTCATGGCCGAGATGTTCCCCCGCCCAGCCGACTTCTTACAACCCCAAAAGTCATCTGCATGGCTCGAGAAAGCGAAGCAGTTGGCACAAGGCGAGAAGAAAGTGGAACCCTTCAATTTCCAGCCCGAGTCCTGCGTGAAGCTCAATAACGTGGAGGCCGCTCGCAAGTTATTGGACAACATGTATAACCAGCTCCAGGCGGACAAGATGGCTGAGATCTTGGAATCGGCACCTCCGGTACCAGAGAAGCAGGAACGTCCGCGGTTCCTATTCAGCGTCAAGATCGCTATCGCAGAAGGACTCGTACCTCTGGATAGCAGTCCTTCCTCGAAGCTTGACACGTTCGTGACGCTCAGTGACGAAGCCGGGAATCGACTGGCGAAGACACGGACTATCTACGAGAGCTTAAATCCACGATGTGAGTCCAGGTAATCCCGCCATCTTGCAATCTTTACATTGCCATTGTAGGGGACGAGACATTCGATATCTCTGTGGATAAACCGTTGTGGTTGATGATCAGCGTGCGGGATCGTGCGCTTGTAGGAAAGCATGACACCGTCGGGAGAGCTTACATCTGCCTGGACCCTAGGCGCTTTGGGGACTTTTTAACCCACGATCTTTGGCTGGACTTGGACAGTCAAGGTCGCATCTTGCTCCGTATCAGCATGGAGGGTGAGAAGGATGACATTCTGTTCTACTTTGGTCGTGCATTCCGGTCGCTGAAGCGAGCGGAGGGCGACATGGTCCGCATATTTATCGACAAGGTATGGCATGTCCACATACCTTGCGCCTCGTCTTTTCTGACGCCTTCTAGATGGCTCCTTTTATCGAGCAATGCCTGTCAAGGACGACTTTAAAGACACTGCTCAAATCAGGGTCGTACAGTCTGGACTACAACAAGGCCCTTGGCAACGTTACGGCGTTGTACAGGTCGGCTCTCGGTGCCTCGTCCAGTGAGGTCCAGATACCGTTGCCAGACGGAGAAAAGCCCCGCGTTAGGCCTGATCAGTTGACCGATGTGGAGCTGGAGCAAGCCCTGTCTCCGCTGTTCGATTACTTCGATGCGAACTTGCAGACATTCAATACCTATCTCAGTGATGACGCGAAGCAGATGGTCATGACACGCGTCTGGAAGGAGATTCTCAACGTCGTCGAGGGGCTGCTTATTCCTCCGTTGTCGGATGTGCCGAGTGAGATGAAGCCTCTGAGTGATAAGGAGGTGGATGTCGTCTTCAAGTGGTTGAAGGTCAGGGTCCAGCCAGTCGTAACAGTTCATAGGGATCTGACGAGCCTGCGTAGTTCCTACGGGATTACTTCTATGCTGGTGGAGAAGGCCCTGTACCTATGGAGTCGCTCCAGAATCAGAAGTATCGCGACATTCTGTCCATTCGACTCTATTATGACTGGCACACGTACGTCCGGCCGCCTTGCTTCCAATCTATATTGCTGAAGTCCGTTTGTTAGTGACGCGCTGATGGAGGAATGCGTGCGGATGATGCAACAAAGTTTGAAGGCTTCGCCCTCGGTGAAGAAGCGCGCAAAGAGTGTATATTCCCAACGCAACCTCGGTACGATCAAGGACAGGAAGAGGGAAAAGCAACAAGAGAAAGAGGTCACCAACGGGGAGACTATCTTGCGAATCCTTCGGATGAGGTATGATTGATATCTCCGCGGGGATGTGCTCTGATCGGTTATTCTTAGGCCCGGAACGCACGACTTTATCTCCCAGCAACTGCAGATCATGACGCAGATGCAAGCAGAGCAGGAGAAACGCTCGCAAGAAACTCAGCAACGCAAGGTGCAACGCCCGCGGCAGATGGGCAACGCCAGCGTCAGCAGCCTGCAGATACCGCCTGTACCAGCCATTCCACCGAAGTCATGAACCCTGTCCTACCTCGGATACCTTAGGATTGGAGATCGGTTCGCCCTGTTTATATCGCCATATCAGTATACCTTCATACCTGCTTCGGATTTGGTTTCCCATTTACCGCATATGTACTGAGATTCGGAATCAGCATCTTTTGGACTTCTTCTCTCCCGTAACGATAATATCAAACGACAAGGCAACCTTGCCACAATTACTTATGAATCTCTCAGTATCGAAGGTCAGTATGGATGTGATTATATAGCGAGCCGGCTGTGTGACTTGGTAGTTCGTAAAACTTCGTATAGAACGTGAAGTTGAAGGCCCAGCACGCTCTCGGCTAGTCAGTCACCGGCTGTGGCTTCGACTGCAAGTCTGCAAGTAGTTGAAGTACCGATGCGCTTCGATGTGGGCGCACGTCTGCTCGTCACCTCGATTTCATCGAGACTCCGGTATTGGGACTGCCGTTAGGCCTACTCGGATCAGAAGCACGGCGGACGGTGCACTTGTGCTCGTACCAGGTCCAATTGCGCCTCTCTCTGTGCTTCTGACCTATCGCTGCCCGTCGAGTGCGACCGTGACTAGCTGCGCCCTATCCCTATCATGTCGGTCGTCGCAGAGCTCCTACAGCCCCTGACTATGGTGCGCTATATCCTGGACCACCGTCTTTCAGGCTTTCCCCTGCAGGTGGTCGCGAAGAAATACACAGACCCGGCCAATTCAGTCGCTTCCTCTGACCCTTCTGCAATGACTATATTGCTCGCAGCTGGTATTGGGATGAGTACGTGATGCCTGTATTTCTTGCGTTCTCATGTTGACATTCTCAAGCCACGGAGTTGTGGATCCCGATGGTTAAGGAACTTTACCGTCTGGATACCAAGGGAAGTGGGGTGAAGATAAGGTCGGTATGGGCTGTGGATTGTCCGAATCATGGGGAGGCGTGCGTCCTCAACGAAGATGTGTTGAAAGAGAAATATGCGGAACAGTGTAGGCTTTCACTCACGGTAGGGGCTTCTAGTTGACAAGCCCATGGATGCACCAGTCACTCTTCATGAGTACGGCAAGGCCATCACCTTGTTTCTGTCTACAGGACTTTTGGATCCCCTGGAGAAGTCCACTCTTGTCGCAGTGGGACATAGCGGGGGAACAGCTGCGCTGTAGGGACACACTAACTCTTTCGCTACGGCCTAACTTGACATACCATGGGTAGCATAGCATGCGCGACGGCCAATAGCGACCATCAGCTGTTCAAAACACTGATGCTTGTCGAGCCACCATGGCTGGACCGCTCTGTAAAGCCAATGTTCGAGATGGCGACTACCTTCATAGGGAAACGCAAGTCCCGCACATGGGGCTCGGTGGACGAAGCCATGAAGTATCTGGTGACTCGTAAACCGTACAAAACGTTCCATCCAGACGTTGTACGAGTCATGGCGGTAAGGACCTGTCTTCCGGATAAGACTTGTTTGCAATTTACCGTTGGGATATCTGTTAGGGGACGCACTTCCGTTCTGTCAATGTCGATGGTCAAACACGTATCGCTCTGAAGACCTCGACTGAGCAGGTGATGGCGACGTGGAAGGCTACTGACGACGCGTTCAACGCGTCGGAAATGATAGAGCCCCTCCTACCTAAAATGCGTGTTCACGTAATTTTTGGTAGTAGGCATGATATGTGGCAAGTATGGCAGTTCGCTCTCCCCGCGTTGACTAAGTGACTCTGCGATTTGGCAGGCCGAAGCCTGTCCACGAGGTGCTACAGAAATGTGTCGAAGCCCATCGCTCGCAGCTGGCGTCTATCTCGACGGTCAACGACACGGGCCACCACGTACGTTTATAACGCCATACTGGTCAATGTACAGATATTTGACACTGGACTGATTATCATTCCTAGGTTCCGCAGGAGAAGCCACAGGAGCTCGCAGCTGCGATCATTCACATCCTTCAGCACGATCGACCGTCTCCAGCAGCCAGGTTGTAAATCATCTGTATATTGTCATTCCTCGCGCTGGAAGGGACCCTGTTTCTGCAGTTCTTTTGCAGCCATATCTTGCACTTCACCTTGTACTGTCGTCTCATATGTATACTATTATCCATCATCGTTGGCGGACTCGCCAAGATGAAACGTTCAGTCTCGCAAGTAGGCGACGGCAAATGCCGTGAGTTGCCCCGGTTCCAAGAAGTAAGACATTGTTGGGCACGGTCGCACACACCGCCGCCGCCAGTGCAAGTACCGCCAGGGCTGTACGAGACGACGCCGACGCACTCTGGCAGTTTCTCGTGTCGTTCTCATGCTCTGGACTGTCCATCATCGCTAGACCCGACCGACACACTCCGTGATATTGTAATTATGACCCAATCGACCAAGCAGAGCTCGCGCTTTTCGACGCTCAAGGTGTTCAAGTTCGCCTCGTCTGGCAGCAGCTCTGCGTCGAAGCCGCCCCCGCCCCCGCCAAAGGACCCATACTACCTCAACAACAACCGCTCGCTCGCGTCGCTCAGTCACTCTTTGTCGCCTGATTCTTTTTCGCTGCCCCCTACCCCGCAATACACCAGCTATGGTCTGCCTCGGAGTGATTCACCCGGTTCGAGCGGTACGGCGACCGCGTCGACCAGCTCTGCTTCCCCATCTACCGAGAATACGGGCTTCAAGAAGGGTTTCTCCATGAAGCTCGGATCGTTTGGTAGGAAGCCGTACGCTCTCAAGGCGAACAAGTCGATGATGAGCTTGCGGCTGGACGAGATGGAACAGCAGCAGCAACAGCCGCAGACGGACTCGTCGGACGATGGGATAAGTATGCCATGGAACTTTCAGGTGCGTGTTCCCCGTGATCCCCTGCTGCGAGTGGTGATTAACGCGTATTATTAGCATCACGTTCATGTAGATGAGACGTATGTTTAGGATTCATCGAGCCCAGGTAATGTACTGATTGGTAAATGTAGGATGAAAGGACTCCCCCCTTCATGGTCGTCGTCCCTGCAGGCCGCCGGGTTTACGGAGGAGGAGATTGCCAGTATCCGAGCCCGCCGTGCTGTCTCGCCCAGCTCACCCTCCCTTCACAGTTTATCCTTGTCTCGTCCTCAGACTCCTGCATCCCAGGCTGCTGGAGTACTGACGCATCCCCACCCTCGAACGAGTTCCCTTCCCCGACAATACTCGACTGCATCGATGTCCCAGCGGTCGTATTCTCCATCAAATGCGTCGGTCAGGCGACCGCCACAATCCCGGAAATTCTCGAACGCATCGCGCCAAACGGACGTATCGGATTCCCCTTCTGATGCACAGTACGTGACTATGCCTCGCCGACCGTCTGTTAGTAGTAGTGCTCGGGACGACGAAGACGAAGATGGCGGCGACAATAATCGCGCGACCATCATAGGTATGCCGCCCGCTCAGCGGACGGACTCCCCCTCTGTCCAGTCTAGCTTTTCGTACTCGACACCTTCGGAGAAGGGCCACCCCATGACGCCTCCGCAGAGGACGTATCGCATAACGAACGCAGAGCCTGGATCACCACCGCCTGCTTACGCCTCGCCCCCGCATCCATCGCCTTTGGGCCACCATAGCCAGACTGATACGGACGCAGATGTAGAAGTAGCAACGCTTCCAGCAGCTTTGCCTTCGCCCAATGCGCCGTCTTTCGTCTCTGACGATGATGACCGTCGGCAGACGCTGAGACCGTCGAGGAAAGAGAATGAGGGTGAGTACGTTGGAGGCGAGACGAGCAACGGCTTCCTGTCGGCATCGCCACTGGGTTCTCCTGTGAAACGATCATCGATTGTGCCTCCACGACTATCGTTAAGTGAAGATTCGCTGGGCGATCTCTCGAGCTGGACGGAGTCATTATTCTCTGCGCTTCCTTCGGCATCAAGTCAAGCTGAAGGGTCGTCGCCCAGTTCTTCCTTCATGGCCTCTAAGTCGAGTTCTGCGTTTGCATCATCCTCTTTTCTGCAGCCGTCTTCGCTGTCGCCGCATTCACCTCTCTCCCCCAGGTCTACGCATGAGCGGAAGGGGTCTCGGAAGTCCATGCACCTGCCTCCGTCCATCGTCGTCAAGCCCACGTCGGAGATAGACCATACTTCCTCGATCGCCACAACCCCTCTCTTTGACGAAATCATGGGCATGGTGAACTCTCCGCTGTCCTCCACCAAATCTCCCCGATCACCAACATCGCCTTGTTTGACTGTTCCTCCCCGGAGCCCTCATCCTGTCCCTGACTCTGCTATTCTGCCGAAGAGCGAGTACGTAGATGTCGACGAGGAAGCGGCGTCGGACGAGCAGCATATAGAGGACCTCAGTCTGTCCGCTGACGTTCGCGGCAGGGAGAACAGAGATTCTAGTATGTCGGATGCCAGCAATCGGTCTACCGTCACCGTAACGAATGCGACCATTATACGAGGCGCGTTGGCCACCAGGGCTGTAGCTGAAGTTCTCAGGCAACCGCAGAGTCGTAGTAGTTCACGAGCACGGGAGCCGGAGGCACAAACTCTGACAATCGACGTTAGCAGCGGCGTCACGAGTGCTTCTGGCGATGCGCTCTCGCCATTCAGTGCTTTACCCTCGCCTTCCTGGAGTCCTAGGTCTCCAGTTGGCTCGGTGACGAACCGGGAATCTGTACAGACGATGAGGTACGAAGCTGCTCAGCCTGGGTCGCCGCAGAGCACTCGGTCCTCCACCCCCTCGAATTCGAACTCGAGTGGATCAGGAACGAGCTCGAGCATGACGGAGGACACGTTCGAGACGGAGCTGAGCCCGCGGCCGCTTCGACTGGATGGTACGGTCGAAGTGGAGAAGCCACTGAAGAGTCCTGGATTGGCATACATGGATCCCTCGCCTGGCTGCTCTCCGCAACCTTCTCCCGCGAGATCTGCATTTGATAATGTGAAGGGCGCTATTTCTCGCGATGACTCCGGGGATATCGTTAGGAGACCTTCGATAGTTATCAACGGGATCGGCATGGGTCCTTCGGAAGGGGATGCGGATGAGGCGCTTAATCCACCGTCATCTGTATCCTCGTCTTCCTCTTCAAGATCGCCACTGACGCCGGCCCAGCGATATCCTGGGTGGCTATACCAGGTCGTCCGACCGCTGGAGGAATTCATCGACGACGTGGAGCCGACGGATCTCTACGATGGTCTCCAGGAGATCGCGGAGGGAGAGAGCGGCTCCGTTTTCTCCGCCCGAGTTAAGGCTTCGTCTCCGGACGTCTTTGTCGCCATCAAGCAGATCCCAATCCTGCCATCGGGTACACCGAAGTTAACTGACTTGCAGAGGGAGCTCACGCTGATGAAGGGAGTCCGGCATGAGAATGTCTTGCCTTTCGAGCATCTCTATGTCGATCTCCAGGAGGACTCGCTCTGGATACGCATGGAACTCATGGACCGAAGCTTGGCCGATGTCATTGCCCTCAACGAGGACGGCATAACCATCACGGAGGAAGTTATGGCCAGGTTTGCCAGTGATGTGAGTATCGATTAACCTCGCCGGACTTCGCTCATCGTCTCGCTGTCTTCGTGCCATAGGTTTTGTCGGGCTTGCAATATCTACAGAGTTTGCATATTGCCCACCGGGATCTCAGGTCCGATAATATGCTCCTGAACGCAGAGGGAGTTTTGAAGATTGGTTAGTTATACTCCCATTCTCTTCTTAGCCGCAATGCTAAATTCTGTACAGCGGACTTCTCGACCGCTGTGAAGGTATCGCTGGAGGAACCCATGTGCTGCGACGTGGTAGGTGTGGCTTACTGGCAGGCTCCAGAAGTTCGAAAGTACGTTCGCTATACTTGCTTCTCGATTCATTATGTTGAAGCCGGTTCAAGGGGTTCATACAATGCGCTCAATGTGGACGTATGGTCCTTGGGTGCGACAGTGTGGGAAATGGCAGAGGGAGAGCCACCATTCTCAGACATACAAAATCCTCTCGATTTTCCTGAGCAATGGCCCATGCTACGCCGGCCTGACGTGTATTCGGAGTCTTTCCACGATTTCCTTGATTTATGCTCCCGACCTAATTCCATTCGACCAACTGCCGAGGAACTCCTGCAAGTACGTATTGGTTTCTCGACTTAGAGTCCTACTAATCTTACGGTTTTCCAGGAGCACTTCATTCGCAGAGCGTGTCCGCGGTCGGTGGTTATTCAGCTGCTGTCGGATTGTCGAGACCTCGAAGAGAAGCTGCAACGGAGACAGAGTGTTGGATCACAAGGGACTATTTCATGATACCATATCTCATTCTCTATACTATTTCTTCGTTATTATCTGCATTTTGTGCGGTCACAGCTCATCTATCTTCCCTGCTATACTCTCTATTGTCTCCTTCAATTTACGGCATTCGGTCACCACAGTGTCATTCTCATCCTCTGCACACTCAGCAATGAAAGTCGACGTCTCCGCGACGAAGCCTATCGGCCGAAGAATTAGTTGCGCCTCGCAATCCCAGGTGGGCCTACTTACCAAGCAGCTTGTTCCCATGATTCCTCCAGATTGCTTCTGAACAATCAAGGGCATATATCCGCAGAGCAGGATCATCCGAACGAGTATGCATCAGCAAGTCCAAGTTGACCTTTTTCAGCAGCGCTTCTTCGCTAATGGCATCTACGAAAGCGGTGAGGCAATCTCGCAGAAACCTCTTGCCATCTGCGGTGCCCATCCTCAAGCAGACAGGCACCTGTCCCACTAGGGCAGGAGCAACTTGACGTAGCTTATCGTCTCGCCAAAAGACTAGGGACAACGTACGGTTGAGCATAACTATCACGGGACAAGCAACGATGCGGCATTACCTCCTTCATCGAAACGGAAGGTTTCCGTCAAAATCCTGAGCACGGAACTCCACAGGGTAGGATCTCCCTCCGTCGTTGACCCGCTGAGTGTTTGTAGAATCTCGATGAATGGAGTCATCAGGAATGACATGTAAGGGGTCATGAGATTCTGAACACATGATTAGATCAAAGACTATAAAACATGCCAGGTGTCGCACCTTGAAGTAGTCGAGCAAAGCTTCGTAGGTATGGCAGAAGGTAATCTTTCGGTCCTTATCAGAGCCTGCATGACTGTTATTAGGGTCTCGGGCTACTTGAACTCCATATTCACCATTATCGCCAAACGCCCAATCGTAGAGCTTCCTGAATATCGGCCTGAAGGCGGTCTCGTTCATTTTCGCCACAAATTCCACGAAAGCAGTAATTATGCTGCTCTCAAGCTACATAGATGTTACTATGGATCTGTCGATGTAGGAAAAGGATCTCACCTCGTCTACGGTATGCTTCGCCATCTGCCGAGCTTCAAAACCATGGAGGAATACTTGAAGGAGAGGTCGTAGATTATCCATGACGACAGATCGCTCTCCTACTCGCAAGGCTCTCCGCAACAGATAGAAGTATTTCGCAGGACGAGACATCTTTGGACGAAGAGCGGTGAATAGAGATACTTGTGACGATGTAAGTATACGTACGGCCGCCGAATCTGCATAAACTGGAACATTGCACAAGGTGGATAAGAGCACGCTGGACGGCAGTTTCTTTGTAGCAGTCTTGACAACACCATCCATGGCGGAAGAAACGCTTGACATATCTGGTGCAGTCAAATACGTCTCCAGCACCTGCGTGATTTCACCACTACCCCATAGATTAGGGATAGAGTCCAATAGGGCAGAGAGCGTGCGGGCCGCAGGCGCAGAATCTAGTGGGAGATCAGATAGTTACAGAGCTCCTTCTCGATACATCGTACCTGCGGGATCATGTGTGGTGCCGTGGATGACACTGACGCATCGTTGTATAATATCCCTGAAATAGGGCAGGACGCGAGGCCCAATCTTCGCTCTGACGACCAATATGTATCAGTGGCTTTTCACAAGTGCACGGGGAAGCAACGAACATTATAGGCGGTAGTGCAGCAGTGGCATGCACTGTTGCGATTCCGTTACGCATGGCCTCAAGTATCCTCGGCACCATAGTCAAGAGTGCATTCTCTTCGCCAGCACAAGCCGACTCGCCAATCGCTTTAACCGCTATAAATGCACGCGACTTCACAGAGTTATTGCCACTGCCACCCAGGATGCGCTCTAGGGAACCAATGATACGCTTAATGGTTGGGGTCGCCGTGTGCCTGGTCTCATCCGAGACTTCAGGCAAGCGAACAGAGAGAACGTCCAAGGCTCCGATGATTATCTGTGAAGCAGCGTGGTCATCGTAAGGTAATGAACTACGAGCATGTAAGACAAACCTTCGCGTCATCCGATTCAAGAACGGCGGCCACCGAGTCAAGGAAGTCGGTAGCGTGCATGACGCCGAGACATTGGCTTAAGGAAGCCTGAGCAGCTTGGACGACATCGAGTACACCTTCGTCTTTCGATTCGGCATCCGCCATGGAGACTAGCTGTAAAAACCGAGAGACGAGCGCATTGATCGCCAGCGCCGACTGTGGTGTGCGGTGGCTCCTCAGGAGACTCGGGGAGTGCTGTGCGGCTTGGCCGACAAAAATATTCAATGAACGAGCTCGACGTCTATAGAGGAGTGTCTTGGTTGAAGATTGCTCGTCGTCAACCCTGCGTGTCATGGTCAGCATCGGGGAGGACATGTCTCGGAGAGCGCTTACCGCATGCTGTCAAGGAATGTGGAGGTTGTATCTTCAGGATTCATGAGCCGATGAAGGAGGCGTTGACTCTCCAGGAGGAATTCGGACAAAGCCTGGGTGAAAGCAATTATTATGTTTGGCATTATTGATATGTCAGCGGATGAGACTTTACTTCTAACTGCACCAGCGGTTCACAGTGTTCAACGATCGCCATTGGTAACGATAAGGTGGATAGTAGTTCGTTCAAATTCTGGCGCACAATACGATTTGCTGATTTTTCGATGAAGAGCATGCAAAGCGGCGCTAAGAAGTCGTCTGGTCCAAGTACGTCCACCAGGTGGGCAAAGAAACTAGCCGGATATGAGTAATGTGCGACATGTCAATGTTTACCACGAACTTTGCGCGACGATGACGGGGTATATGGCTTGAGGCGTCCACAAAGATCCGAAGAAAGTCCCGTGAAGCAATGATTAAGTCCAGCTTTGAGCTGTTCCCAGACTTCAGAGAGGAAACCATCACTGGCACTATACTGTCAATTGTCTGTAGCACTCCGACAATCAGAAGAGTAGGGCATCGCGACGCTATTGTTCTAACCTTCTGTACCACATTGAAACTATAAGCATCATCCCTGTGGAAGACATTTGAGCCCATAAAGGTGAAAATGGGCATTATATTATGCAGGACAGCTTCAGGCGCCAAGCGGGCCATAGAAGCCATCAAAAGCAGAACCTGATTGAAAGTCTGAGGGTTATCGGCGCCTGAAGATAGGTACGTGAGCGGGAACCCAAAGGGTTCAATAAATTCATGGGCTGACCTCTGATCAACTCGACAAGGATGTCGAGCCGGAGTGAAGACGCTTTGAGATCAGGTATGGACTGAAACCGATATTAACACGCTGCTTGAGCATCGTGGGACGTCACTTACTTGTGCACTCATCCGTTCCAGCGCGGACATAAGGAGCTGTTCTATGTAACTTTTCTCCGTCTGCCCCCAGGAATCGCAGTGCGCCACTTTCCCGAGAGTTTCCACCAGGCAAGTCACTAACTCAGCCGACCCTACAATGGGTTGGGCGTGAACAATCTCAGCGAGAATGGTCATTGAAGATAGCGTGTTCTGATCATCGTTCGTAGTATCGGCACTTGATAGAGAATTGTGAACCATATTCACAAAGGTTGGAAAGCTAAGAGAGGCATACCTGTCGTATTTGGCTCGTTTGCTCGCGCGGTTGCCCGACTCCAGCGCCGGCAGCGCAAGCCCATTGAACAATTGGACAAGGAGCTGTGGTTCGCGAATGATGTTGGACAGGAGGGCTCTGCCGTAGGAAGCCTATCCATATCGACACTGTAAGTTAGCGATAACCTTTCATGTTACAATGTCTATGACCTTCGCATTTCGTTCGCTCGACTCGAGCAAAACCTGGCAAAGCTCCACTTGACGTTCTGACACTAGACTGGCGAACAAGCCACCTTGTAGATTACGAGAGAGAACCATATTCGCAGAGGCCGAGAATCCTGATGCACAATGAGTTTAGCCTGACAGGTTGGTACTACAACAAGTCCCACCTTCATCGGAAGCACGCCGCAGTGTCCCAAGATAAACAGGCCAGACAGGGCTCCCTCCATTATTGAACTCCTTCGTGAGAGAGACATCAAAGCATCCGACCAATAGCGTGCAAAACTCCTCGAATGCGTCGCCCATTGCAGCTACTGAGGCTTCAGCCCCAGGGTCCGCCGCTATGCCTTGTAGCAAGGGCAATAGCATCTCCGCCTTGGCTCTGTGTGACACGCCCTCGACCATCTTCAGAAGGCGCAGGCGTGCGTTGGGAACGGAGCAGGCATTGACATGAGATAGGAGATAGCAGAGTATTCGTTGCTTGTAACTAATGGACGACGCATCAGTATCGAAGCCGTGAGTATTCGAGGCATACCCACCTTGCTTCCTTCTTCGGGCTGCTCTTGCGCCCCAACATATCCGCGTGAAGGTTTATGATGTACTCGCGGTCATTGACCAGGTGATCATGATGCGAAACCAGGGCGTTAGTGTACCTTTTGAAATCTTGCCACTCGAGAAACTGTAGTTTAGCTGCAAAATGATCAGTGTGAGCAGTGTGAGTATCATATTTCTATGGGCAGCAGACATACTAGTATCCGCTCCGTATATGGTTTCAATCCCGTATATGGACGAAGCTTCAGCAACTTCCGACAGTCGCCAGATCATCGACACACACTCCATAGCAGCACGACGCACGCCAATTCCTTCATCCTGCAACGCCACTAGGACAGATGGCAGTATCGTTTGGAAATCGACTACTTTATCGGTACCGTCGTGGGCAGCAAGGAACGCAGCAGCATGCAGAAGGGCTGCTTCACGAAGACGCTGTTCATCTGCGTCCTTTGCATCTTCGGAGGGAGAGGTCCAGATGCCGGCCAGGAAGACCAGCGAGTCGTCACCGAGGTTGATGAATAATGCACGCAGGAGACTCGACGTCAAAACCGGCAGGGCAGATGAGGAATTAGCGAGCCTATAAACTTTGCGCATGAGTTCCACATAACGAAGGCCTCTGGAATCTTCCGAATCCTAGAAAAGAAAGACCCATGAATGGATGTATCAACGAAGCTTAAGAACAGAGTTTTCGCTTACATTCTCCTGCTGGGGTTGCGGCTGAGAAAGCCATTCCACTGCCCCGTGAGCGGGGCGTACGATAACCGGAAGTAAAGCCAGGATCGCAGTCTGCAAACGGCGAGTCGTATTCCAGCTGTTCGGTTTCTGCACCACCGTCATCCCCAGCGCCTCGTCATTGAGGAACTGCAACACAACTCAGTAAGCAGCCATCAAAATCGAAAGCAGGATACCATACGGAGTGGAGGGTGTCGACTCCAGTCATGAAATCGCCCATGCCATCCAAGCTGTTGAGGCCCATGGCACCCAAGAGCCGATGCGCCGCTTCGACTTGATGCTCCCCGGAGACGAGGCCCAGAAGCGCACGCGCGGTGAGGTACGCGAGGTGCCGTGCGTGTGCGTTCGGGTCCTGAAGCTTCGCGAGCACATACTTGAGGTGTTGCGCATAGTCGTTGGATGCAACGATGTTGCCTAGTATCCCTCCACTCAACAGCCAGCACTTGGTCCATCAATCAAGAATCACATACCCGCTATCTTGGAGGCCAAGGCCAAGTTCGTACTCCCCATCGTCTGCGCGCTCTTCCCCTCGCTCTCGCTCGCTCCCTGCTTGCTCATCTCCCACTGCACAGCATCAACGCACCCTCCAAGGAGCTCATAGCCGCCAATGCCCTCCTGCCCCTCCGGGGCACCGATGATTTCCCATACAGCAGTAGCCGTGCGCTGCCTCGGCTTGGAGAAAAGCAGGAACGCGAACAGCACCTTCTCGAATGCCTCGCGGTTAGCGGACGGGTTGGCTTTGCAGAAGTGGTGGCACAGGAACGCGATGTGGAGCCGGATGACCGGGCGGGAAGGCGTGTTGTTGGATAGGAGGACGGCCGAGAGCGTCGAGAGATAGGTGTCCTTGTGCTGAGTCAGGATGGGGAGGAGCAACGTCGGTTGAGAGTAGAGCGTCTCTAGCACCGAGATGTTGCTATCGTGGATGCGCGTAAGAAGGGCGAGGTGGATGGCTTGCTATATAGATTTCGAGCGAAATTGTGACGACACGTTCATGCAAAAGCACAAACACATACCAGTTCGGACGGAGCCCTGTCTTCGCTAGTATCAAGCATTTCATAGATATTGCGGACGGCGATATTCCGAACACTTGGGTCTGCGTTACTAGCAGCAATTATCATATCTTGATTGGGCTCATCGACTTGACCAGAACCACCCGATACTTGTACCATGGATAACGACAAGATCAGCTGTTCCACAACCTCCTTGGCATCTTCGTCTTCGGAGATAGTCTCCTCCGCAGCCTTCTGAAGCACGAGAGGATACCGCTGCTGGATCAACGATAGGATCCGACGGTATTGGCTCATATTCTCATCGCCACTTTCAGGGTCGATGACGCGCCCCAGAAGCAATCTGGCTGCGCGTTGGACTATGGCGCTGGGCACTTCCGGTGAGGATAAGATTGCCTCTAGTATGACGTATGCCGACTCGTTCTTGAGACTGTGTAAGAGCAGTGAGTGTGGGTGAGGTATGGGTAGACGGGTAAGTCGGCTCACTGAGGCAACAATCCAGTGATTAGCGGATTGACGAACTTCTCTGCCCCGACGAAGCCCAAGATCTCCTTGAGCACATCGCCACAGTCCCTGCGAGGAACGAGGAATGAGTGGACGTTACTACGCATATGACTAGTGACACGCACGGGGTATGGAGCAATTTCTTGAGCGCAGCGTCCGGGAATTGCTCTAGCTCCTCTTGAGGTGCGCAAATCGACACGACAGCGCGGATGGACTGATTCAAACTGACATGTTGACTGCTGCTAACCGCGGCATCGACGATCACTTTGAGCGCTGCGGCCGAGAACGTACATTTCTGAGAAAGTGCGGCGAGGAGCACGTAGTTTCCGAGTACGATGTCCTTCACGTACGGCGTCTTCTCAGGTGTGGTAACCTGCAGAGGCTTCAACAGCGCCGGAAGGACAAACGCCAGTTGTCCTTCATTGAGAGACTTGGTCGCAGCGATGAAGTCCAGCAGAGCGCCGGTGTGGAAAGCGACGAGTGCGCGATAGGTGGAACTCTCTTCGAGGGCACTGGGGAAAAGTGATGCAACGAAACGAGCGAGATCTGTGTTTCGCGTCATCTCGGTCACAAGAGCGGTACGAGGGAGGTACTGGGCGGCGGCTTTGAAGGGGAGCAGAAACGCCCATTTCGACTGCTTGTCGAGGTGCAAAATGGAGACCATTTTCGCGAAATGGGGGGAATCATGGTAAGGGAGGAACAGCCGGAGGACGTTCTCAACGTTGAATTCGTTTATTCTAGATTATGGTGGTTCAGTAACGCGTTTCACTGGCTGCTTTGCCTCGGAGGTGAGGCACAAGCTGGCTGAAAAGCACAGCCCCTCCAATGCCCACGAAGAATCCATACCGGTCGGAGACGCGGTCATTTCTGCGACTTGACATTCAAGCGAAAGCCAAGTCACTGTTATGGCCAATTCTCCGACCAGCAGGTGACCTCATTGGGGACAGAGAGTCAGAATAAACACCATTACATACCTGAATCTCCTCACAAGCCATTCAATCACTCTCCCGGTCGGTGCATCCATCAGATACGGACCAAGGAGTCTCAAGCATCCTGCGATATTCTTATCCAGCTCCGCGTTCGCCGTCACATTCAAAAGTGTTCGGTCAAGTCCCTTCGTAGCATCAGAGAACAGGGCATCTTCGTATGCATTCAGTGCAGGATTAAGTGTCTTGAGTCGTATGAATCCGCTGACACCCAGAGCGTGTATAGAATCGAGGTCATGCTGGTCCGCCTCTCGTCCAGTGAACAGATATGATTCCGCCCATTTTCGTTTAGACCGGTCGACCAGAAGAGAGGTGTTTAGGGACGCGCCTTGCGCGAGCTGCGCAGCGAGACTGGAGACCATCCCAAGGACGTGAGCAGTGTCGGCGTCGACGGTGGCTGAGGCCTCTGAAAGCACTGAGTCTGGGATTTCCAAAATTTAGGAATGATCACGTGACTATTGATCGATCGATAAATCTCGATCTTATTTGACGTTGTGGGTCCCTTCGAAGCTTCTGAGACTTATAATTAGCCCTGACGATCCACCGAGTGCCAGTGTCTCTATCCTCATCGAGGCTCTTTGACGCTAGACACTGTAATGGACGCAGTAGAAGACGACTCCGACAGGGATGGTGTAGACTACACAGTCGACTGGGGTTGTCATCGAGAGCAGAAGGTCGAATACTGACTGGATGCGAGCAGCCGACCCTGGGTCCAGTACCGGGTAAGTGCATCTCAGGCTGCAATTCGTCAGGCTTATATTCAGCGCAAATCCTCTCAGAGATATGAATTTGTGGAATGCGCAGAGAATCATCTCCGCTACCGAGGGCCTTGAATGCGCTTCCCTCATAGACGTTCACGCCATCCGGGACGGCATGTACGAGACGATTAGCTGGCAAATGTAACATGGCGCGGATAGCGAGCCCTTGCGTTGGAAAACCCTTGCAGACATGAAACCCTGATCTTCCATGTATATTCACAATCCAAACACGGGATGCCCGAGCCCCGCGACTGATAGTTCCCTGGGTTGAGGGCATGTTCGAGCGTTGGATGTTTCAGGATAGGGAATGATTACACCTGATGGGAAGGACACCAATTACACAGCATTGATGAGCTTTCGCTGCGTTCCAAGCCCCTGCCACCATGTCAATTGAATGCATTACAATAACACATGCTCAGAAAACTCATATAGACGACTAGAACAGCCTCGGAGAAGGCAATTGTGTCCGCGCAGACACTTTCAGGCAGTACTGTCATCGCTCGCCTCGGTCATTCTGACCCACAGCCCATCCTGTAGAGGAGGATATACGTCAGACATCAGCACGAGTGATCGGCGTCAGAATCGGGCTAACCGTAGCGTAAAGGGTCAAGTGCTGCGCTGGTCGTATCTTCTCCGCAGGCTTCCGCCCCTCGCCGGTGGCCCAGCTTGCCGGCGGCTTCGAGGACTCGGGCTGCGCGTCTGGTGCCAGGGAGATCCCGGAGAAATGTTGGAGGAGGCGGACCGTCATAAAAGACATCTCGTTGTATGCGAACTAGACAGATCAGAGCACTGTGAATAAAGATCGAGGTTACTGAAGAAAGAATTACCTGTTGCCCCAGGCATATTCTCGGACCGGCGTTGAAAGGCAGGAAAATGAAAGGGTTCGGCGTCAGATATTTATGCAGGCGTTCGTCGATGAACCTGTCGGGGTCGAACTGCAAAGCTGTATTGACGCGGCATAAGCAGCTCAGCTACGGATTACTCAATGATCTCGCCAGAATGATGTCTTACCATCAGGACCCCAGAGGTCCGTCCGGCGGTGCATGAGCATGACTGAATATTGCACCCTTTGAGGAAATGGAACTCAAAGAGTAATTCGTATAGTGACCCCAAGAATATCGTACCTCGTTCCAGCCGGAATGTAATATGGTTTACCGTCCGACCTCTTTGAGGGCCAGACCGTCGGATTGATCGCCGTGCTGTTTATTCTGACGCGTGAGTGATATCCAAGGAAAATGTTCCAGAAGGACGGCGTACCGGCCATTCAATGGACTGGCATTCACATTCCGTCAGTTATCTAAACGAAAGTAGGTATGCTGGATTGTTACTTACACAATAGGGAACAATCTCAAGGTTTCTAAGTGGCGGCATATTAGTTCCGGTCCCAAGCAGCATAAACAAACATTGCACCGTTGATAACTGCACGTAAGTACTTCATCTCCCTGACATCGTCGTAGTTAGGCCTCCTTGATGGCCCGACCTTGGTAAGGATCTCCTCCCTTAAGCGGCGGAGGATGTCTGGATGCTGTGACAGCATGTAGACCATGAACGTCAAAGTGCCCGCCGTCTTGAAAACCTCAACATGATGAGACACCCGCATCCACGACGGCATACTACGCACCGTATCACGGCCAGCTACAAGCATGTTGAGAATCTCGTCTTTCAGTATAGTCTGGTCTAAACTTCACGTCAGTATACACGACGGCACCAGGTAACTCTTCCCGACCTTCAGTACAATGCACCAGATGGTCCAACAGCGTCTCCCCGTCCTTCACCTCCCTGTCCGCACCCTCGGCCTCCGCTCCTGCCTTGTCGTTGTTCTTCCTCTCGAGAGCATCCTGCAGGATCGGCTCGATAAATGCGTTTATCGGCCCCATGCACTTCTTCGCCGAGTCCTCCCAGAATTCGGTGAGCGGCCACGCAGAGCCAAAGCGCCCTCGCATGGCAAGCTTCGCCTGGGCGTCGGCGAAAGCCTTGACAAAGGCCGTCGATGGGTGCTTCAAGTTTGCTTCGTTCGCGTACTTGGCCTCCACCGCCGATTCGGGGTACGGTAGCCCCGCGGAGAGGGAGTGTACATCGTGACCGAAGAGGAACTCCGTCGCCGAGTCCAGTGTGAACCGCGCTATCAAGTCCTAGTGCGTAGGTGTGCAGTGTGAGGTTATACGGCACAGAGGTATGTGTGTGGGGTACTTACCTGGAAGTCGACCGCGAAGCCCTCCTTGAAGCGTGCCTTCATCTGGTCGATGGCGTCTTCCGCGTGGCGCTCGAAGATGTCGAAGTGGCTGATACGGTCCTTGGTGAAAAAGGGCCGGGTCATCGAGCGGTGGAATCTACGCGCATATGTCCATGAGAACATGAATACGACGGGAGCAAAAACATCGCTTGAGTTGAATAACGCACTTCCACATCTCGCCTGTAAAGAATCGTCAGGTAAGCTGCGATTCGGACATACAACGTGGCGTTACCGTCTGAGCTGAACACGCCGCTCCCGAGCACAGACTTCAACTGTCTTTTGATTACGGGGCCTGATTGAGGCCATGAAACAGGATTTGAAGTACGACCCAATGACTCTCACCCTTCTCGAAGTTATTGAACTCCGTTGCCAAGAGTGCCTAATAGTGCGCAAGTGAGCACGCAAGTGAGCCCGCCGCCAGTCAAGTTAGAATTTCTCAATTGCCTTGATATGTTCCGGCTCTATTGTAACTACCTGAACCAACAGTCAACATAACATCGCTGAAGAACTGGATTACATGGCACTCACTCGATTCTCGCCAAGAATTCGAAAATTAAATGTGTTTCCATACTCCTCCGTGTACCGAAGCAGATTATCACCTACGATGCTATTCAGACATAAATTTGACAACAGAGGACTGCAACCTACTTGGAAGGTTTTCTTTGAATGAAGTGATATTGTCCTTGATGATATCCAGACCAAGGGGCCACCTATGCGCCAACTTTGTGGGCACAACAGCTCCCACCGCCGCTGCCGCCCTGTTGTCCAAATATTCATTCACTCTGGAAGACACAATCACGTAGATAGGAATTGCGACGACGTATAATAGCGTCAGGAGCCACCCTGAGACTCGAAGTCCGTAAGCACGTTCGGCGATATCGTTCGCGACATATAAAGCACATAGGGGTACCAGCAAAGCAGGCACCCGATAGGCGAGGTACACAGGACCAGGGGGTGCGGAATCCATGGCAGTATCATCATTCATGGTGCAGCTGCGCGTATATGTACATAGCATAACAAGCTTCCTTTCGCACCGGTCTCATGCCTCACCGGGTTACCCGGTTACTAGAAGAGCGGGGGTGGCTGTGCTATTGCTACATTGTGGCATTTTATGGCGCTCAACACGGTACCGGTAGACCTATCGAGTGAGGCCTCAAAGCCTCATACAGAACATCACGGCTCTGGCAAAAAACTTTGACAAAGTATGCAATGGGACGTAGAGCAGTTTTACTATCGCAGACATGGAGCACCGGTTATGCGCTGAGCACGTGAAATCATCGCGAGCCGGGAGCCCGATGAGTAAACCTATGATCATGAACAAGAAAAGCACAATCTCAGGTACTTCTGGATACAACCATATGCATTGCTCTCCACATACGCAACAGCAACTCGCAGGGAATCCTGGAAATGTGCGTACACCCAGCCATTCAAGCCACAAATAAAAGTCCGAACCTTTTAGCGGGAAGAGAAGCACTCCATGGGAGGTAACAATAGTATGAGATACCCATGATGAATTGGGCGACGGCTCTCGTATCGTTATATGCCCAGTGTCTTCCGTAACGTAAGGCATTGGGTTGACATCTACCTTCCGCGGGAGAAGTACACCCTGACCGTCCTTCGTCTGTAGTTGATCACCCAAGATATCCTTAAGAGGAGTTACGGACATCAGAGCCTCGTAAGTCACAACCACCAGCACATCAGGTGGTAGACCCGCGTTGCAATGAGCCATTACATACGCCGGAGCCTCCCAGAGCAAGTGCGTTTCTCGCATCCTAGAACCGTCCTTGGGATCTAGTAGGAATACAAGCTTCATTCATGAATGGGTGAGTTGAATCATTATTCTCGATGGGGCGAGAGACCGCGGCTATCATCCCAAGGGAAGGGAGATAGCTGAATGATGCAGTATGGAATGGGAGGTGCTTGCTCCAGACTTTTGCGGGGGACGGAAGCTGTATCACATGGATGGTATTTTCCTGATACTGAAATTCGTACTCTGAGCTGGTTTCACAGACTGAGAGGGCTATCCTGGATTCAGGGGGAGGTCCTCCACCGCTTCGATCCGCAGCCAATCCGAAGGCCCGCCTATCGCAGACAACACGATGCTATTGAGAGCGCTGCCAGGCGACCGCATTGTCAGAGTGAGGTCGTTATTGTCGGAGAGTGCATAGTCGATGGAAAGACCCATGAGGATAGTCTCATCGTCCACCGCGCGCAGAAGGAAATTTTCTGGTTCTGGCGCAGTTCGGAAGCGACTGACCTCCCTCAACGTGCCGCAAATAAGCCTGAGGAGGACAACGACCTGGTAGGTGTCATCCGAGCAGCTGCGGATGGTCACAGCCATGTAGTCCCCTTGATGCATCCAGTCCTTCATGCGGGGCAGCTGGACATCCTGAGCCAACTTTCCTGTCTCTAAATCATACAGCCTCAACACACTCCACTCATCTTCTTCGTCCATGTCTAGGTCGAAGCGGCTAGCCCCCACGACTAGCACTGGAGCCGAGTCCATCCGTCCAACCATATTCCCGTTTCTAGTGAGGTTTCCAGGCAGGGACGGTGTCATTGTAGCCATCTGGACTGGTCCCTCTGCACCTACGGACCAGAGGTGTGAAGTTAACCCTGCGATGTCCACCGTGACGAGGTAACGATGTGTATAGGTGGACCGGAGGGCTTTGAATGCGCTCCCCGGCCCTTCATAAACTGTGACGTCTACGCCGTCCGGTACAATGTGTACGAGACGGCAAGCTGGTAAGGGTTCCATGTAGCACAAACAAGGGTGTCGAGGTAGTCAACCCTGTTACCTGAGCGGACCAGGACATGCAAGTGATCCAACATAGGGACGTTTCATTCCATGCACTGTTCGCGGGTGCGCTGATAACAAGATTCATCTAGCTGAATATTTGTTGTCAGTTCCCCCCGCTACGACCCCGGGATCTCCGGGGCCCGCGACTGTCAATCTGCTGAGTTAAATTTTCAATCAGTCGAATGCTTAAATACAAACATCTCTTCGTAATTGGTAATCTACTACAGCGGCTGTCTTCCTAGACGGAAGTGACATGGGCGATTGTCCGTCTTGATGATACATCTACGAACAATCGATCACGTTATGCGGTGGCACGCACAGGGTCCGCCCTAGTGAGTGCCAGTTGAAATGCCTGCAATCAGGTGCGCTTCACATTTCCGTTACCTCGATTTGACAATGAATCATCTTGCACTATCTGATACTCATGTCAATATTTGTAGTTTGTCACCCAGGCTTAGGCTCGTTGATCTTGTTGGTGTACACTAGTAACTCTACTACATAGTATGAAATCTGCAATTTCCAAAAATCTCAGGTATGGAAGCATCGATGGCATTGACAACATGGGGACATTCACCATTTCAGGAAGTACATATGAATGCCTTGGGGTGGAAAAAGCACGATACCGTCGGGAGCGATGTAGGCACTATGGACCCAACACGACTCCGGCGGGATGTCTTCATCCAAGATGCGCTCCATGTCTCCCCCATAAAAAGCCGTAGGATCGACTGGAACATTGCATTCAAGAGCTTTTCCTTCTCTGACCTGAAATCCCTTCTGCAGGATGTCCTCGAGAGGCTCGATGACAATCGAGCCACGATATGTCACCATTACCAGTAAGCCTGTAGAAGAGCAACCCACGACAACCGGACGTTCTCCCCCACAAAAGATCGACTCTTCTCGAATAACAGCACCATTCTCCAGGTTGAGGAAAGCGACATGGACAAAAACCTCAGCCCCCTCCCGCTCGGGGGCGGAGACAGCCACCATGACTCCTAAAGAAGGATGGCAACTGATAGAGCCGGGTTCAAATGGAAGGTGTGTGCTCCAGTCCATGCAGAGCGATGGTATTTGCAGGACATGGATAGTGTGCTCCGCGAACTGCCAGTCATTGCCCGAGTCAGCTTCCCACACAGACAGAGCAACTCTGGAGCCTGGGATGCTTTGCGACTGCTGGACCTCCCAGCAGTCTGCTCGTTGGTCTGGAGGAGGCAGCATGGTGGTGATTGGTCCATCTCCAGATGAAAACAGGGTGAGAGCAAGAGGCTCAGAAGAAGAGGTGGAACGGGCAGCGAGTAGAGCGTCATCATCATGAATCTGCAACATAGAGAGTGTGAAAGCCACACCATGGTCATTGCAAGACCACTGTTTGACTTCTTCGAGCCGCTGCAATACTAAACGGTACAAGACAATTTCTGCGGTGGAGTCTGGCCTCCGAACCATGGCGGCAACCAAGTCAGAGTGCTGCTTGAACGACACCACACGTGGCAAACAGATGTCCTGCACCATCGCTCCTGTTTCCAAGTGATACAGTCGGAGAACACTCCACATATCCTGAGTGTCCTCATCAATGCTGAAGCGAGTGACAGCGACGAGAAGCAAAAATGATGAGCTGATTTGTGCCACGACGGACCCGACTGCCGCAGTGTCCGCAGGAAGCGAGGGCTCCAGTGTAACAACATGAACCATTTCCCCTGATGCAACAGACCAGAGATGGGTGGCAGCCCCGGTGATATCCACCGTAACGATGAATGGGTGCATGTAGAGCGATCGAAGAGCCTTCGCGGGGCTCCCAGAGTAGGGATCTACTCCATCAGGCACTGTATGGGATACGCAATAAATTTGAGGTGGAAACATGAGAGGACGCATGCTCCGAGAGTCGCCGACCTCTAGACAGGAACAGTCGGAGAGGTTGTCTCCGGGGAGGGAGTTGCAGTCAACTCGTCCGAAGCTCCCTCTATATCCTAGTTTGGATCTTGCACATCCCGTCAATCAATCGCTCCTGATCATTATGCATACTCAACATGATCCATGATCGCCGGCGCGCCTGGGATACCCGCGGAATTGGCCGCGACAGCTACTGAACAGAAGCAGAGATCCTCAGGCTAGCTCCTCAAGCGAGCAATCTCTGAAAGTCCCCGGCTCGCCATCCAGCAGCCTAACCAGCCACATGGTGCTTTCTGCGGCGTGGCGTCTGCCAATAATGAAGCAGTCGGCATTTTGCGAAACGTGCCTAAGGCCGTGTTCGACGCCACACGAGTTCTCCCGTACTTGTTCTGCGTCCTCCGTCACCTGGATTGTTACAAGATGCTAATGAGCCTCGAATCATGCAAGCTGTTTTTGTGATGAGTACATGAAATCTGCTGCGGTAAGTACTGACATCGCGCCTCTACAAGTATAAGTCACTCCAGTCCGGAGATAGTTCCCCTCGAGGCTTGTGCAAAGCTCACATCCGAAAACCACACGATTCTCGAAGTTAGTCTACGGAAAGAACATTTTTATCACGACAGAACCGTTGTTCACTGGTACTATCTCCGTGACAGAGGCTATAGGTTTTCTGCTCGTACCCTGCACCGGGATGATTGAACAGGCTCTCCGGCAACCCCGCTCTCGGTACATTCGCCGCACCTCCAGAGTCTCCTGATAGATTTATCTCTTGCATCCTTGATATGTGTGAATCCACCGTCGCTCATACGGGCAACTCTTATCCGGCATCGCTGCCTTGCTTTGAGACATCCTAGCCGCTGCGTGGAAATGTTGCCCAGTAAGTGATCCTCTGAATCCCTATCATTCGTCGGGAATACCGGACTTGGAACGTATAAAGATGTAGCAGGTTGATTTCTCTAATCCTTGTCGCTGGTCGCCCACCTAAAGTCTTTCGTTCATTACTTCTCCTTCTCCGCGTATTTCTTTATATAATGTTCATTGTATCATTACTTCAAGCTTGTGCTGTAGGTATGCTGGTTTCACTCAGTCCAAGCAATTATGCTCATGGAGCCCCCGTGCACGAAGGTATGGCTTCTTATATATCACTGATTTTACGCCTTACTCACCATGTACCTGATGGGTTATATCGAACGGTAGGTGTCGAAAATGGTGCCATCCTGAGCACTTTAGAACTCGTTCGCAGCGTGCAGCCGTCTCTGGTTGCCCGTGCCGCATGCCGGACCATATCGAGCTGTGGTGATTGCGTCGCCAATCCCACCTGCGCCTTCGACAAGACTAAATTCACCTGCACCGTGAAGTCTGCACTGGTCCAGCAAGTGACCACCACCAATGCCTGCTTTTTAGTGCAAGCGATGCAGAAGGTCCGCTCCCTTTCCACTTTTCCGCAATGTGATGTCTAGATTCTCAGACACAAATACAGGAGTTTCCTGCTACGAAGACTTCGACGGCCGGCGTCATTCCTTCAGGCGTGAATAAGCTGTTCAATGATATGCAAAGACATATCTTTCTCGGCAATCCCGGTGACACGACCAAGGGACAACACATCAACACGGCCTGGGTACCCACGAACTCTGGAATAACCAAACTCATTGCCAACGACACGTCCACCCATCTCGCGCAGTACAGTTTCAAGTCAGCGGTGAGTCATGTCCCCTTCCGTCCCGTAAGTCATGGTGACGCGGGCACGTACAGACGGCGTCCGGAATCAAGACCGTCTGGGACAACAGCAGGAAGGACTTCTACGACCAGACGGATGTAAGAAACATGTGCGCCCTGGCCCTCAATTTCCTGCAGCGTGCCAAGCAGACCCGGGGTTCTTTCTGTCGCTACGCCATTCAATAACAATATCTGGCTCACGGCGGTCATCACGGGGGGAGACGGGACGACGTGCTTTCCCAAGAGCGCGCACGCAGTATCGCAGCTGCTCGGATATCCCTGCTAACTGAGCTAAGCCTCTAGATGATCAGAGTAGTAGGCTGGCGATTTTTGTTTTTCCAGTCCATGTCAATTGTCCGAGAGTGAAGGCTAAGCCCGCGAGTGGACATTGTCCCAGATTGCATAAGTCGAACGGAAACAAGCACTTGTCGCCATGGGCCAGACAGTGGAAGCAACCTTTTCTCCGACTTGATGTGGCGGCAGCGGCAGTGGGTGTGCACGAAGAATAACTCAAGGGGATGGAGTGGCTTCATCGCACGGGTGCATACAAATCCCAGTGGACAAACACGGACTTCGATATATAGAATTTCCGGAGGCTCCTCCATTCACAGCGGGCAAGCACTGATGTCCTGCTACCGGACATTTGTCATTCATGAAATAGGTGGGAGAACATTTTCCTTGCATGCTCCGAAGTGGGACTTGGCAGAGACATAAAGAATGAGAGAACAATGTCAATCAAATGTCCCCTGATTTTTAGAGAGCATAGTAAATGTCCCGCGGATCTGCCTTTGTTCATTCAAGGGACATTCTCCATGTCCAGGTCGTGGTCCAACAAAGACCATTCCAGGAAAGTGTTCTCCCAACCGGGGCATGTTCATAGCATGCTCGCCGGCGGGACATCGGTCTCTGCCCACAGTGATTGGCACCCCGCGCCACCACCAATCCCATGCGCCAAATAACAATTCTTTCATTGAGGTTGGTGCACGCCGGCGGCTGGAAATCCAGATTCCAGAAGTTCAGCCCCGCCGACACCGTATATACACTGCGGACAGAGATCGATGTCCCGCCGGCGAGCATGCTATGAACATGCTCCGGTTGGGAGCACGCTTTCCTAGAATGGTCTTTGTTGGACCATGACCTGGACATGGAGTATGTCCTTTGAATGAACAAAGGCAGGACCGCGGGACATTTACTATGGTCTCTAAAAATCAGGGGACATTTGATTGACATTGTTCTCTCATTCTTTATGTCTCTGCCAAGTCCCACTTCGGAGCATGCAAGGAAAGTGTTCGCCCACCTATTTCATGGATGGCAAATGTCCGGTGGCGGGACATCGGTGCTTGCCCGCTGTGGTAACTTGTGCAGGATATCCTAGTCATACCCGTACCGCAGTGCGTAGCGTATTACCAAGATATTTTCAAGAAAATTCGAACCAGTACGTAGTAGCGAACGCGGGGGGCTGTGGCACTGTGGCAAGGCAGACCCGGCTTTACCCGCACTTCTATTCTCGTATCCGAAGTCGTGCTCCGACGCTGCATGAGCCGCACGAGTACCTGACCATAAAGCGAATCCCACACAGCGTTCAGCGTTGTAACTTCTGCGTGGCGAGCCTCGCCTCATGTTGTTTATAACCGAGGAGATGGTACGCTTCAATCTCTTGAATGTGTGAGATGCGCCATGGCAGCGATTCGATTGTGCTACATCAACGTAGGTATCACAACAAACTGAGCAGAGAGTAAGAAAAATCTATGATACATTTCCATTCATACATCCGCCGCCCGTAATGCGAATCGCACATCTACCTACTCCCCCTCGCCCTCCTCGCTAATGCTCTCCAGACTACTCTGCCTGCTATGTCTCCCCAACGCGCCGCTCCTCCTCCTCTCCCTCTTCGCTCCCTTCCCCTGCCCTCCACTTCCCTTGCCCGCACAATGATCGCGCTCAGGACTCCTACTCGGACTCGAGCTCCCCACGCTCGTGGGCGGGCTCGAGCTCATGCTCATGCTCCGCGCAGACGAGCTCGCGCTCGCGCTCGACGGGCTCGGCGAGCGGTAACACGCCGGAGAAAGCGAGGGCGAAGAGGGGTGGTTGGGCGACGTGTAGAACACGTACGGCTCCTCCGCGAACGAATCCGCCGCCCAGCCCGGCGGGGCCAGCGGTGCCGGCGCGGTGTGATAGATCACTTGATGCGCGTGCGCAGGCGCTCGGCTCTGCGGACGGACGGGCGGGCGCTGTGCGGACCCGCGCCCCGCCGCGTCGCTGGCGCGGACGTCCACGTCCTCGACGTGCTCGACCTCCGCGAGGCCGCTCTCGCTGAGCTCCTCCACCCACGCCCTGACGCGCCTGAGGTTCTCGCGCCGGCGGAGGAACTCGACGCGCTCGTGGCGCTGCGCGGGGTTCTCGACGTACCCCTGCTGGCGCCCGCGGCCGTCGTACGAGATCGGGGACACTGACGTGTACCCTTTCGACAGGGAGGGGAGGGCCGGCGCGGAGCGGGTTGCGATGGGGAGCGAGGGTGATGGAGGACCGGTGCCAGTGAATGCCGATGAGGATGATGAGGATGAGGAGATGGGGCGGTTGGGCGTCGAGTAGATCATGGCGGGCTCGTCGTCCTCTATGGTATGGTGTGCTTGCGGGTATAGATGATGGTGGCGCGGGCGCGAGAGGTATATGAGCTGCGAGTCCTGCGAGGATGACGACGCCTGCGCCGAGGCAGGCGGTGTGGTTTGGAGACGGCCTCGATCGGGGCTCGAGGGGGACGCTAGAACTTGGGGCGAGTGGCGCGGGGGGTATCGATATGAAGGAGAATTGGGAGAGGGGAGATGAGGCCGGGACGGGGATGCGACTGCTATCATATCTGAAGTGGACTGCCGCCGATCTTCTCAAGACTGGACTTGGCGTGTATTGTGTGTGAGCGACGTGGGATGGGCGAGGGCACGTTGAGGATGTTGGAAGGGAGGGGGACAATTATAACAGGCAGCGAGAAGTCAGGAACGCTGCGAAGTCGGAGGAGGCGAGTTGTAGCGCAGACAATAATAGAACGATGTTAAAGTATGGGTGGTGTCCCTGATAGACTGACGACGGCGACGACGACGGCTCGCAATGAAGAGCGATTCGCAGGAACAATGTTTCGTCGAGCACAAGGGCGCTCGCAGCAGGCTGATTTGATATAGGAACAAGCAGTTCACAGCTTTTAATCTCGGGGGCTGCAGTTATATATTAGACACGGGGAGCGTCACCGCGGCGAGTGGTGGCGAGTCCAGGCCTGGAGTGAGAGACAGGCCCGAGCGAGGAAGCAAATGGGACTGAATCGCGGTGGGCGCGGCAAGAACGGGGGTGGTGCTGCCGCTCGCCGCTGCATTATAAGCCAGAAAGTGGCCTCCGCGCGGCAACTGACAGCACCCAAGGCCACGTTCTGACTCATGTCATCATGACACACCACCGATGATCACCGCTCTCTTGCTCAATATCGTACCCTCGGGATCTTCATGGCGCCTCGCCGCTGTCCGAGTCATTCTTGGAGCCAGCAGCCTGCGCGACGGCATCAGTACAGTCGTTTGCATATGAAACCGAAAATCGGGTTTCCGTGAGCATTGTTTGTTCGAGCCAAATATACCCATATGCAGTAATGCGAGATGGCTTCTTGTGACTGTGTGACTCTGTAGACTGCAGCCCGCCCTCAGGCTGACAAACTGCATGTGCTGTGTAGTCTGTTGTAGACTCGATCTCGTAGCTCATCAAGGTAGATAGCAGGCTCTCCCTCAATAACTGATCGCACGAAGTTCATATCCTGCATGTCCAGAGTGCGCGGCCGGCCTCGAGGTCTAGCATTCGGGTTGATGACTGTGCCGTATTCTGTGTAGAGTCGGAGAACTTCGAAGACTGCGCTTATGCTGCATCCCGCAAGCTCAGAAATCACTCGGAGTGTCTTGTTTTGCTCATGGCGCCAGACAATGATACGTTCACATAGTGTCGAGTGAG